TTACTTGAAAAGTACTACTGATATTCTAAATATCGACTCATTTATGGAGAAAAATTTGTTCTAATCTCTATGCTTGCTAGATAATTCCTTGCATGTTCATTTTAAAGCTGTGTACTTTGGATTCTATGATCGCAGTCTACGTCAAATAGCCTGCTTACATCTATATCTTTTATGCTTCACAGCATTTTAAAGATTTAGGTCATGTCCTGCCTCAATCTTTTCTCCAATGAAAACAAGAATGAAAATGATCTACAAATCTCAGCATTACTCTCGTCTCAGCATCTTCTCTAACCCTATCCATTTAACATCCTGATTTTTTTAAAGGAGGACATACAAAAATATACAGTATTTTACATAATAACAACAATTCTTGCATTTGATATATTATACAGAAGGGTAGAACTTCCTTCCGATTTATATTCAAATGTTCATATTGCAACCTTATTAGAATTTACTTATCCAAACAATAGGATTATTATTTTCAAACCATCATTTAGATTCAATGGAACACAGATGAATGGTAAACATGACACATCTAACAATTAATTCTGATAATAGTCTGAACTATAAAGTTCAAGGTGGGTATGACAATCTGGATTACATGGATGGACAGAAATTTTCACCATTGAAGAGGTTCATTTGCTCATTATATACGATGTTACTTTTATTCATGCTTCTAATTTTTTAAATTATTTCCTTATCCACCTCATCCCTCATATCCCTTAATGTAATTACTGATTGGGTGCTTATCCATAGGGATATAAGAAATATATTCCACACATTATAAGAGACTGACAAACATTTTTTTTATACTGTAGTACATTATATTGGTTTGGCAGTTGAAAATTTCACCTTCGAGGGCCTCATATTGAAAACGTTCATCAATGATCGTATCTGAAATATTATATCAAGGGCATTTCAGGGCATATTCACACACCCTGAAATGTATGGTAAATCTGGAGTGCCATGCAGCATTCTCCTCATCCAGCCTAGATGAACAATATGCATTTAGATGGATGACAATTCTCTTTATTTGCAACTTAATCAGAGTAAAAATGAAGGGTTGTCCAATTTGCAGTACTTCAGTGTACAGTTCTTCTGTACCAAACTGAGACTGTATTTGTTCATCTCTGAACTGATATGCAATTCCTGTAATTGTTTAATCACACACATGCACACTTACACAAAGAACCTTTTTAAAATAATAATCTTTGTGTGAATGACACTGTTAAATATTTCACAAATATTCTACTTTTGTTTCAGACATATCTTCAGAAATTTGTGATTTATTAGGAAGAACAACAACATGCATTTTTATAGCTCCTTTCACGTACATAAGTTCCCGGAGCACTTGACAGCAGCAGAGTCTGACCCCAAGCCAGGGGGACGGACAAACAGGAGACCGGAGCCAGCCAGGCAGAGTAGAGGGTAAGCAGATTGGATAGATAGGGAGGTTGGAGGGCATGAAAGGTTTTGAAAACGAGTAAGAGGATTTTGAAATCAATCCCATTCAGTAATTAGAAGCCAGTGGAGCCTGGCAAGCACTGGTGTGATGGGGGTATGGAGTTTTGTGCAAATGAGTATCTGGGCGGAGGAGTTTTGGATTAATTGGATTTTGTGTATGGTGGAGCTGTGGAAACCAGCGAGGAGGGTATTGGAAAAGTCCAGCCGGGAAGTGACGAAGTCATGGACGAGGATTTTGGCTGCGTCGGTTGTGAGGTACGTACTGAGGCGGGCAACATGACAGAGATGGAATAAAGCAGTCCTGGTCATCTTTGAACTGACATGAAATTAATTGTTTCATTACACACACACACCTATACAGAGAACCTTTTTTAAAATAATAAATCTATTTTTGGAAAACGGTGTTGGTACACTTTAACAATCTGAGTATCTACATTTCTTGACTTAACAAAAGTTGTATTAAAATCACTATTAACAGTGCATTGAGTTATTTGTAAATGGTGCTGAATGATTTTTTTTCAAGTCACAAATGTGACCTCTAGTGGCAAGTAACATGATTAGCTTTTGCAATTTATTTTCCAGAGTTGGAGAGATTTGGATGAAGACAATGCATTGACCCATTTGATTTTCTCCTTTCAGAATATCAACACTCAAGCTGTTTCTAATAGGAGGCCAGTGATCTGGTTCCTACCACCCTTCCTGATCACCCGTTCCAACTGTTAATTACCCTCTGGGTAAAAGAATACTTCCTTCGAATTTGTGCAAAAATTAATCTCCGCAACTCTGAACCTGTGACCTCTTCCGTTGCCTCGAAATTATTTTTTGAGGTTCTATATGATATGAAGGATTTTTTCTCACCTTATATTCATGGTCTTAAGCAAAATGTGGAACATCACAGAGATGCAAGAAATAGGCAAACAAAATCCAATTTTACTTACCTCATGCATCTGCAATTTTTTTTACTGGTAGCACAAAGATATTTGTTAACAGAAAGAAAGTCAGAGACAAATAGAAAAATGAAAGTGTTAATGAACAGTTAACTGAGAATCAGAGAAAAAGAAAGAGGCACAGAAAGATAGAGCGTTTCAGAAAGAAACAGTCTTAGAAAGATTTAGAGTCAGAGCAAGATGGGCTGGCACAATGTGTTGAAAATTTTAAAACATGTCATCACTAGTAAGAGTAATTTTAATGTGATGTAATATTCCTGATAAATTATACTAAATATGCTTCCACAACTAACTAATTATTGTGTTACAATTTTTACTTTTCCTGTTACGAAATCCCACAAATTGGACTTCATGATTATCAAACCTAGACTATTAATTGTTGCTCAATAAAGCAATGTTGCTAAGGCAGAAAATATTCATTATCCTTTGCAAAACACTTTTGCTTTGGTCATCTGATACATATCCTGCTTCAGAGTATCCAAATCAGAATGAGAATTCCGCATATGTATGGATCCTACACATGGAAGATTTCCAGTGTTTGAAATGGAATACGCACTCTGTCCCTGGAGGAAAGCACATTGCATCCCTAAATCCAGAGTATTAGGTGCAAGTTGGCTAAAGCCAAGACTTCAAGACTCCAGTGTACATTGTAGTATCAATTAAGTTTAGAATTTTGTTCAGGAAAGAGCCAGGCTGGCTGGTCTGTCATCAACATGGTACTTTGGATCCCCTAGCTCAGTAACTGGACTATCAAGTCTGTTAGAGGACTCACTTGATTCTGACATTCTGTTGTCAAGCACATCACCTTGGAGCTCAGCTCAACCCTGCTCCAAAGAGTTTCCATTTCTGGGAATGCCTTTTCATCCATATGCATTAATCAGACACTTCAAAATGTAGGTTGTTAACTTACAGATCAGGTTAGTTTTTGGTCGAGGCGGGGGCGGGGGGAGCTGCAGGGGGAAGAATTCAGATCATAAACCCTCTTATATCTCCTAGAAACATGGGCCTGTCACCAGGGTTGAACCTGTGGCTGTGAACAGAGGTTCTATATCAATGCAATATTAAGTTGAGGAGAGCATCAGAACACTATTATAAATGAATTATATCAGCAAATTGGTGGGAGGATTTGTAGATGTGTAAAAACACACAGAATGAGTAAACATAATTTGGCCTACAAAGTCCATTTCCTCCACAACCCATATAAAATCTACCCAATCAGACTTCACCCATTTGCATGATCTACTGGAGAAAAACTCCTATAACAAACCCTGAAAACTCAATCATGATAAATTCCATATATCATTTTTATTGTTGCAGTATTCAAACATGATCTCTCCAGACACTGCTCTCTTCTCACAATCCCAAGTCAAATATCCTTAAAACTACCTCATATATTTTACCATTTTTAAGAGACCGAGATGTCCACTTTGAATCTCTGTGAACCTTTCCTTGACCCTAAAAAGTTCTAAGTTCTAATGATCATCTTTAATCTTTATCGTCATCGTCAGAATGCTACCCCACCTGAAGGAATGGTGGTTCATCAAAGGGATGCACACAATATTGCAAATATGGTCCTATCGGTGTTTAATACAAGAATAGTATTATGACTTATAATAACCGCACCTATGTAGTGCCTTTCACATAAAAATAAACATTGATTCACTTCTAAAATAATCAATAGGATCACTTTGGTCTAAAATTACACCTTAGTAACTGAAGAGTTTGAGAAATAACATTTGTTCAAGGACTTTATTGGAGAACAAGTCTTCAGGTGTTACATGAAAAACACAATCCAGTTGACAGTGCCATCGATTTTTTTTAAATCTTACATTTGTTGCATCAACATAATGTATTATTCAACTACAAGTAGTCCAAACATTTTACAGTAAATCTTTGAGGTTTTGATGATGTGTTAAGGCATAAGGCCCTATCAAACACAAGAATTATAATGAATTATAGAAGACGTCTGTGAATTGACTGATTCAGAGATACAGAACTTACTCTTCCCTCCAGGGCTGAGTATCCCCCAATCTCAGCCACAGTTAGGAGTGTGCTTTCCCCACAAAGAAAAGGAACTGTGGAATTAATCCATATTTAATTTGTATTGTATATTTTGCCCACCATCTAATACCTTTCTCAGAAACGACAGAAGTTTCAGAATTGATTAACCTTTTGACTGCAGACAGTGCAGAAAAAGAAATAAATCATATAAAGACAAGTTTACAAGAATCCTCCATTCACTCACATTTTACACCATATTGTTATGTGAAATTAGTCCTATAGCTTAGCGTTTAGAGCACTCGCCCTCAAGCGAGAGTATCTGGGCTCAATTCCTGGGCAGGGCAAAACTTTGGGCAAGTTTCCTTACTCCACACGCCTCTGTTCACCCAACAGTAAGTAGGAACCCGGTATTAATCAATTGGTGGATCGCTTTTCTAGGGGTCATAATCCTTTTTTTAAAAAAATCATAATAATTTGGTTACTCAATCCACGACTGTTTGTGGGATACTGCTGTGTGCAATTGACTGCCACGGATCGCCCAGAAAATGTACACTCAATTCACTTTACAGTATATTATGTGAGACGTCTCGAAGACATAAGGCGCAATATCAAATACAAGGATTATTATCAAAATATGGTATAAATTATGTAGGCTACTTCTGAGATAACACATAAAATGAAAATACACAAGACGATAAAAGTAATAAAACAACTTATATGAAGTGGGGGCAACTGATGACAGTAGATGGCACCATTTAGTTACTGGCTTCAAATACAGAGAATTTGCAGCTCCAAATTAAAAATACAGTAAATGTTATAAGCTGTACAAACTCTCAAAAGAGGAAAAATGGTTATCAAGTAGTAAACTAATTTTTAAAAATCACTTTTGCACACAACATGGTGGTAATTAACATTGAAAGTTAAAACTATTTACATTAAGCTACTGCACAGTGGTTTCCCAGGCCCAGAGGTCAATCTTTATTTGGGGCTTTTGTACAGAAAAAGTAAAGGCAAACGGGTTTTGCAAAGTTAGATGGAGGAGAAAGGAAGAAACACAAAGAAATGTTTCAGACCAACAATAAAATTACACTCTACAATAATAAAGGCTGGTTCAAGATAAATGAATTGTAGGTTCAGACCAGGAACCTGGAGGGTCTTTTATTCTGAGCGTCAACAACTAGTGTATTGAGAAAATAAAAGGCCATTAAAGCTGGTGGTGTTGAAATCAAATTGAGTGATAACATACACATTTCTCTACCACTTTAAGCACTCAAGAGCAGAGCAAAAAAAAATCTTTACTCCTGTCACTCACCTTCCAATGGTGCAACATTTCCTGAACAGAGATGGGCATTATGGTCAGTTAATACCAATAAAGGTCACTCGTAATCCCTGGAATAATCAATAAATTGATGATTTACGTTAATTTTATTGCTGAAGAGAAATAGCTAGAGTCACTGAAGCCTCAATTCAGACATTGACTTAGTTCATCATGACCTCAGAATCGAGCCTCTTGTGACACATCTAGGCAATATTGACATTGGATGTTTATACACCAATACCAAATTTAAGCTTTTATCTAAACTTCACATGGCAATCGTTTACTCTGCTCTTCTTTAGGTAAGAACAATAGGATTGTCCATTCTGTCAGCCAAAGCAATAGAATTTAATTCAACATCCATTGAAGCAAATCTGGTCCAAACATAACACAGTACAGGTAACATAAAACAAATAACTATGGTATAACTAACTCTTATCTAGCTATGGTCAAGTCCTGCTTAAAAAACCCACAAGATTCAGTAAATAACAGCTGACCCCTAACACACCAACTCGATTATTTATTTCTCAGTAACTACAGCAATAATCATACAATACTCAAAAAAAATTCCATTTCTGCCTTAGTTTTAAATCTCTTATAAAAGGTTTGACCTTACCACTTAATGGATACAAATCAGACTAAAATGTTTTTGTGCAGTATCCAGTGAATATTTTCTCATTAAGTCTCAGACTCAATTAACCTTGCACATCTACCACGCAACAAGAATTCTGGAAACTACAATCTACATAACATTGCAAGGGGTCATACACAGTAACATGGATATTTTCAGATACAGCAATATGGATATTTTCAGCATTCAACAGCTCCAAATCTCCTGACATAATTGAAAATTGAGGACATTTAGAGACAATCTTCTAGTGGCAGCAGCAGCAATCCTCAGCAATAAGATTTTACATCCGAAAACTCCGGGTTCGTTGAAATGGCTGGAATGACTTCTTCATGGTGAAAAACATGAGCTGTGGTTTGAGTTTTGGTTTTTCAGGAAACAGCAGTGCCTCACTCTCGGTTGTTGGAAATCGATTTTGATATACGTCAGGATAAGATTTCTGAAACTGAAGCAAAAAAAGCAATTTAAAAAATGAAACAATACAATAAAATCATATTCATATTACATCATTCACATCAGCAGGACATCTCAAAGCACTCCACATTGCTGGCTATGTCCCAAGCTCGGAGATGGAACCAAAAAGTTTAGTGAGGGGGAAACATGACCCAAAACATGGTCAGAGGTAACTTTGAGGTAGGTTGGGGGCACAAGTCAAAGGGACTTCAAAATGGAATTCCAGAGAGTGAAGCAGAATGGCTGATAGGTTGTCTGCCAACAGTTGGCAGATTGAACGGGGACATGAACTAGGCCAGTTGATAGAGTTGTAGGATTTAAACACAAGAATCTTGGACTCGATCCTTTGGAGGGTGCGGAGCTAGTGGGGTGATAGGCTCACACAATATAAACACGAGGATAAACAAATGAGGAACAGCTCTTATGTTGAACATTTCTGAATATTCGTACAGCATTGGTATTATTCACTAGCCCGAGCCATGAAGGTTAACCTTCACAAGAACAAATTTACATTTACATCACGCCAGGAGGATTTTAGATTCCAAGCAACTTCTTGGTGGCAGATTAAATAAAATATCATGTTGGATCCAAGGTTGCAGTTTATATAAGTTTGCTGCAATTGTGGAAAATCTGGAGCAAAGTATTTACAGTAATGTTAAGGCAATAATAATAATAATAATAATCCTTGCATTTGATATAGCGCTTTTCACGTCGGGAGGACGTCCCAAAGCGCTTCACAGAACACACTGTAAAGTGAATTGACTGTATATTTGTGGGCGAACGCGGCAGCCAATTGCGCACAGCAATGTCCCACAAACAGTCGTAGATTGAAAATGGCCAATTTAATTATTGTTTTTGTTTTTTGGAGGGATTATTATTAGGCGTGTGGAGTAAGGAAACTTGCCCAAGGTTTCGCCCTCTGCCTGGAATTGAACTCAGGTCTCTCACTTGCAAAGCGAGTGCTCTAACCACTGAGCTACAGGACTCCACAATAAAACATAAACTATTCAATAGATATTTAATATTCAATACATAATATCTATTTGTAAAGATTATTGTACAGTTGTAAAACAAATGTGACAGAATCCTTAATTCATTCTACCTGCTTTAGTTTCCTCTTTTTCTCTTTGACAGACGTGCTTTTGTCCATTATTATTTCTTCCAGCAAACAAGCAATTGATTTTTGGGCACTTGTTCTTGGTTCCTTAAATTCCTCAGCAATAATCTGATGGCAAGAGTAGGAAGCTAGTGTAGCATCAGCATCAGCGCCTTGGTACTTTATCTGGTAGTGATTTGGTAAGAAAAGGAAGAAAGACTTAGTTGTAACCTCTACAACTGAATTCAAACAATTTGCAGCTGCCTAGGAGTGACTTATTTCCTTCTGAAGCTGCAGATTTTACATTCATTGCAGGTGGTCAATAATGGAGTAAATTTTTAGAATTACTGAAGCAAAATAAAAGTCATCATTTTAGTGACATTTAGGCATCATTAATAGTCATCCATTAAACAATCTACCTGAACTCTTCGGAGGTGAGCCAAGTGTTCCTCTACTGCACCCTGCAGATGGTCAGGAATTCTTAGAACATCCTGGTAATGATCCATCATAAAGCTGACTAGTCTAGCTGCTAGCAACTCATCAAGATCCACCTCATCCTCGGAACAGAGGATACAACGAGAGAAAGTTTGAACCATCTGCAATAATGTTTTAAGAATATGTTAGTTGTTATTTCTCTATATAAACCTATGTATTAAGAAATAAATTGAAGCTGATTTGCACCTGTTCCTCTAGTTTGACTCATGGATCTATTAAAAAAAACAATGTAATTAAGATACATTTGAAGAGATATTAACAAGCTACATAAAAGTTTCTATATCTGCCACCCCTGTCTCCTCACCACTTAATAAGTCTTTATACTTAATATACTTTCCTACTGGAAATACTTTGGGGTGAGTATAAAAAAAAAGATTTCCATAAAACAGTACTTGATGTGAGGTGGAGAACCTACAAAAATATTTTAAAAACTGACCAAGATAATTCCCATGAAGATTTTGATTTACAGCTCATTGTTACACCCATTATAAGGCAACTCGTTACAGTGAGAGTGTGTAGATTGTGGCGCTACACTACACTGAAAGGTACATGTCCAGCAAACTATTGCCCAATTCAAACTTTAGGAGCCACAAGTAAGTTGAATGTGAAGCCATCAAAGGAGTTTCTCCTGGTGCCCTGGCCAAGAATCTCCCCAAATTAAAATGAATCATCTTTTGGGACATTGGTGCCTCCACTTATAACATAGTCACATTTTACAGCGTATCCTATGAACTGCCTTTAGAAGTCTTCCCGATGTGAAAGGCTCTATATCAAATATAAGGAATATTATTAAACTCACCAGCATTCTAGCTCCAATAGCATTGTGTAGAGCTGGCATTTCAGTATTTTGAACAATTCGAGCCATCATTCTCATCAGAAGCTGAAGCTTTCGACGATTTTCCGGAGGTAAGAGGAGGCAACAAACCTGCAGTGCTTCGATACCAACATGCTGTTGTTGCAAAAGACCTAGGTTTCCAAAGAGAATCATGGTTAAAGTAAAAACAACAACTACAACTGTAACTCCCCTTATCATCTCCAAAAATAATAAATGTCAAGCCCATTTATAAATCTTTCAGTTTAAAAAAAATTGGTAGACCAAAAAGGAAAATGGTTTCAGCAAAATATTTTAAAAAAGCACAGAATTCATCAGCAAATCCTTCGCCATATAAACCCGTACAATCATCCTACCTTTATGACACACCATCTTTAATCAGTAGCTTTTGTTTGATTTGTATAATTCAAAGCAGACTGCCACACACTGTTTTGTTCATAATCCCATTGTACCTTTATACTTAAAGCAAATTAATAGAAGTAGATCATGAGAAAGCATAAGCCACCAGCCACCAAGACCAATTCAACAAAAGCTAGCAGATCATTCCTGAAAGCAAACCAGACAGGAATCATCTGTACATATTGAAGAGTGCTTACTTGGCATGCTGCTAGGCTTGAGCAGTACTTGGAGAGCAGCTCCACGTGGGTTAGTAGAAAAGGTGTATGGATTATCAAGATCACTCCCTGAACTAGCCTTAGAAGGTAGGTCTCCTGCCCAAGTATTTTGAATATTATTCAAATCCTTTAACACCTTGCTTGGAGAGCTAGACTTTAGTCTATTGAAACAGTGAGCAATAGATTGGAAAGCCGATCCATTCTCAGCTAGATCAATTGTCGATTGCTTGAAACACTGATCATTACAACATTGAATCTTTGTTGAAGATTTAAACCACTGATGTTCTTTTCTTTGGTTACATCTATAATTTTCTCCTTTTCCTTCTTTTATTGGTTCAGAGTAGACACGATTCAATCTATCTTCACACTGAGAATTTGACTCAGTTCGAACAAATCCAGAATCTTTCCATTTTGATGATAAACTACACAATGACTGCTTTCTTTGCTGAACTAGGCAAGTTTGCGACTTCTCATTTTCCAGCTTTTCTTTTTTAAACACCAACTTTGTATTTGAATTAAAGAAGGAAGAAGGATGTCTTTCAGTTTTATTTCCATTTACTGTCATGTTAAGGTCTTCTAATGAGCAATACCGATATGTGGAGACCCAGGGATTTACAGCCTCGTCTTTCAGTTGTCTGAGATTTGCAAGGCTACTGCCTCGATTCATCTTGACATCACCCTTGCTTTCCATCAAAGGGTTTGTAGCATCTTGTTGACCCAGGTCATTTGTGGAAGTGTGCATCAACGAAGGTTGAGAAATGGATCTGTCCCTCAATTGGTTGTTAATAAAATGATTATGAACTTCAGGATGCACTAAGCTAGATAGGCTCCCATGACCTTTTTTTACACATTGGTCATTCATAATTTTGAAAGACTGCATGCAACACTTCAATTCTAGAGTTCGATGTGATGACTGTTGTAAGATTTCAGGAGAATATTCTGAAAATTCTTCTTTTCTACCCAGACTTAACATAAGATTTTCAATTGAAATAAACGAGGAGAGTATGGCCTGGCTTGCTGTGTCACGAGTCAATGATTCTTGTATACAAAGTGGTTCCCTTTGTCGTTCTTCAGTTTTGGAAGTTTGGCAGGGAAGTGTAATAAACCCTGAGAGTGCTGCATGAAGTGCAACAAGATGATAGGTAACAAAAAACAATTAATGTTACAATTGGACTGAAACATGACAATGGATATGTACATTGAAGAGAAAGTGACATGTGGTTAGTTGACTCCCTCAATTATGATATTTGAAAGCATGCAAATCATAAGATACGACAAACGATACAAACTTAATCTGAACAGAGAAATAATTAAAGATGTTAACACGACTCATCTCAAAAGACAGGCCAAAAAGTTGGAATGAATGCACAAAAAAGGAACATGAAAATAAAACATGTGAACCAATGTTCAATGGATAACTCAGATGAAAGAAACGCACTCCATTTATCAGATTATTGCTATTTAAGCAGAATTTATTGACAATTGTGATCATCCTGTAAAGGAGCCAACTTATTTTCTGCAGTAGTTACCGTAGTTTTTGAATTAAGTTAATCTTTGCATGATACTGTACCTTCCTCAGAACCCTTTACATCGATTGCCTCTTCTTCATAAGTACTGAATAATGTATTAGTTCTATTAATCCTCTAGAAAAGGTTAATAACTCTAAACTTCTTCAGATAGCACGGTAACAGTTGCCATTACAACCATTGTGCTACAGCAGACAATACTTCAATGTTTGCATAACTATTCCATTTATAACATGCTCTGGACAAACTTTATTGCACTTTAATGCTATGTAAAAGGTCAAATTTAACATATATCAGGGTTAGAAAGAATAGAATAGAACAGAATAAGATATGTCAGGATGGAGTTGTTATGTGATGCCACACTTAGATTTTACAATTCTATAAGTTGTACAATATTGGGAAGGTTAAGTGAATTTGAAGTCTAAGTGTCTTGGGAAAGATTGTGTTTAAGTATATCTTGTTGGTCATAAATAATTTCTGGTGGCACAGTATGTACCAACACGGGTTCAGGAATAGATCTATTAATCAATTGTTAGCAAAATGTGGAGTCCTGTAGCTCAGTGGTTAGAGCACTCGCTTTGCAAGTGAGAGACCTGAGTTCAATTCCAGGCAGAGGGCGAAACCTTGGGCAAGTTTCCTTACTCCACACAGAGCCTAATAATAATCCCTCCAAAACCAAAAAAACCAATAATAAATTGGTCATTTTCAATCTACGACTGTTTGTGGGACATTGCTGTGCGCAATTGGCTGCCGCGTTCGCCCACAAATATACAGTCAATTCACTTTACAGTGTGTTCTGTGAAGCGCTTTGGGACGTCCTCCCGACGTGAAAAGCGCTATATCAAATGCAAGGATTATTATTATTATTATTATTATTGCATATTAGTGTAAGAGGTGGCAAGTGATAGCTTGATTTCTAAGACAAGGATAAAAAAGTACTTGTATTGTCCCGTCAAAATAACCATTAATCAATTGTTAGCATTAATCAATTGTTAGCAAAATAACCATTGATCAATTGTTAGCAAAATGACTATTGTATATTAGTGTAAGTTAGCATTTATCAATTGTTAGCAAAATAACCATTAATCAATTGTTAGCAAAATGATTCATATATATTAGTGTAAGAGATGGCAAGTGATAGCTTGATTTCTAAGACAAGGAGAAAAAAGTACTTGTATTGTCCTGTCAAAGAGCATAGAGTAAATCAATTTTTAAAGACTCAGCCAATGCATTGCTCAGGAATAAAGGCAATGTGATCTGAAAGAGATTGATGAATAGAATGGATTCATTAACATAACAGTGGATAGAGTAGGATGATTAGTAGAGGAAAATGATTGGAGTGGATAAAGAACAAATTGAGAGAAAAGGCTGAGCAAAGTCAGTAGTTGAGAAATCAACAGCAAGAGTTCCTCTAAGCTGATCAAGTGTGGGTCTCCTTAGAGGAAATAAGGGTATCAAAATAGAATTAAAGACTTGAGTCCAATATCTAGGGATACAACAACAACGAAATTACATTTGTAGAGCGCCTTTCACGTTGGGAGGACGTCCCAAAGCGCTGAACAATCAGATGTCAGGGCCTGAGCATGGGGGAGGGGTGGTGTAGGGGTGAGGGAAGGCAGAGAGGTGGGAGGGAGACCAAAGGCACGGTCTAAGAGAAGGGTCTTGAGACCGGCCTTCAAGGATGCAAGGGAAGAAGCGAGGTGAAGAGCCATGGGATGGAGTTCCAGAGTGTTGGGGCAGAGAGGCTGAAAGCCCGGCTACCGATGGTAGGGTGGGTCGGGCGGGAGACATGGAGCAGGCCGGAGCCTGATCAGCGGAGGGAGTGGACAGGTTGGTAGGGAGTTAGCAGGTCAGAGAGGTAGGAGGGGGCAAGGCCATGGATGGCCTTAAAGGTGAGGACGAGGATCTTGAACTCGATCCTCTAAGGGATTGGGAGCCAGTGGAGTCGGGCGAGGGTGGGAGTGATGGGATCACGGAGCCTGGTGCGTGAGAGTACACGGGCTGCAGAATTTTGGATGATCTGCAGCTTGTGAAAGGAAGAATTCGTAAGGCCGATGAGGAGGGAGTTCCCGTAATCAAGCCTTGATATGACGAATGCGTGGGTGACGGTTTCGGCAGCCTGAGGGGTGAGGCAGTGGCAATGTTGAGGAGGTGGTAGTAGGTAGCACCGGTCATGGTCATGGGAGAAAGGAAAGTTCAGGGTCAAACAAGACACCAGGTTCCTGACTGGCTTAGTGAGGTTGAGTGCAGAGGCGCTGGCGCAAGCCAATCAGGAGGGCCTCGGTCTTGCTGACGTTCAGTTGGAGAAAGTTGGCCCTCGTCCAGGACTTGATGTCGGACAGGCAGTCGGTCAGGACGTCAGTAGTCCTGGAGTTCAGGGTGAAGGCAGAGAGGTAGAGTTTGGTGTCATCCGTGGAAATTTATCCTATGTCTGCAGATGACATCACAGGGGGAGCATGTAGAGGGTAAAAAGGAGGGAACTGAGGACAGAGCCCTGAGGAACACTGCACGAGACAGTGCAGGGGCTAGAGGAGAAACCGTTTGCCGCGACGAAGTGGAGGCGGTGTGAAAGGAGGACCTGAACCAATCAAGGACAGAACCTTGAAGGTTGAGGTGGGAGGAGAGGAGGTGAAGGAGGACTGAATGGTCTACGGTGTCAAAGGCGGCGGAGAGGTCGAGGAGGATGAGGAGGCAGAGGGAGCCCTGGTCACACATGGTCAGGATGTCGTTTGTGACCTTGACCAGAGCAGTTTCCGTACTGTGGGCAGCACGGAAACCTGATTGGAGGGGTTCATGGAAGGAGTGAGAGGAGAGAAAAAAGCAACGCTGGGAGGCAACAGCTCTCTCAAAGACCTTGGTTCTTGAGCAACGGCTCTCTCAATGAACCTCTTCCATTTATTGTAAAATGTCAGTGGAAGGCACCATCGGAGGTTAGAACCCCCACAAATGAAGCTCTAAGACTCTCATTTTTAGGATTGCTATGGCTACCAGCTAGGTTGAAAGATCTAAGTAAAGAATGACAAATATGAATCTACAGTTAGTACCAGCAAAGTTGGTCTCTGCGTCGTAGGCCTGAACAATTTGTGAAAAAATCACAATTTCCTTTGCCAGTTTACTTGCAATTTCTAAAGAATTGGCCAGCTTCACCGAAATCATCTCCCTAATGCCCCTTGGAAAAACAACATAGAAGTGTCCTGATTCAAGTATTTTTATGACCCCCAAAGATGTTCAAGAATAAAAAAAAGTATCATACATTCACCATAACGACAAACAAGATTTCTTCAATTCAATACTTACAAAATGTTTACTGTAAGACAAATTGATGGTTTAAAAACTCACCTAATATATTGATGAAGAGTTCATAAAACTCAAATGTGAGCAATGGCTCCTTTAACTTCTGAAAGTAATCTGCTATGGTTTTGAACACATCTCTTTCAAATCCTGGATACATAGGCTGGTTTAGATCACTTCCATTTGGCCCTAGGTGAGGAAAACACACAAAAACAAATAGTAATTGCATTAAAGCATTCAACTAATCAATTGTTGAAATAAGGACGAGCAATCATTATTTTGTGAAGAGCAAGAACACAGGCTTGAAATGGCTTATGAATAAAGCCCCTGACGTTTCATGCATAATTCATGACACTTCAGTATAGTGCTGGAGGAGTGTGCTGCATTTTCAGAAGTACCATTCTTCAAATGAAATGTTAAACCAAGGTCCCATCTACCTCTTCAGCTGGATGTTAAAGATCCTGTGGCACTATTCCAAAAGAAAAGGGAGTTTGTCATGTTGCCCTTGGCCAATAATCCCAAAGAAAATTGGTCACTCACTTAATGCTGCTTATGGGATATTGTTGTGCGCAAATTTCTGTAACTGTGGAGCTATGTTAAAGTAGGGCAAATGAAGTATATAAATACATCAAATCAACTATTGATTGATCACATCGACATGAAAGGTGCTATACAAATTTAATTTTGCATTGTATTGAGAATTTCAATTGTGAGGTAATAAAACAATATCAAAAGAAGTACAGACAGGATCCACAACGGCTTAAGGATCCTTCTTGCTTACTCAAAAAGTACTTTCCATTTTCTAAAGTTAGGACCATCTTCATGGATAAATCATATTTGCTTTACCTGATTAACCCATAACAGAAAGGTAAGTTGTCTCAGCCAGTAACAAGGAAAACCTCCCAGTATCTGAATTTAGAACCTGAGATGTTTTGAGTAAACATCAAAGGACAAAGATAAGGCTGAAAAGGGCACCTTGTATTCTGTGAAAGAGCAACACCAAGAATTGCCTGTGCCACAAGCATACTGACGCTTGACTTTTTTTTATTTAGGTTTATCACAGCTAATATATCTCCTGAGAATGCTGCTTGAATGATCTGATTTGTTACCATGTTGAAAGTCAGGGTGGTTTATTCAATTATTGCAGATCTAGGAAGATTATAAACTCTGATAAAAAGACACTTTCTAGTCAACCTTTGAATGTGAAGCAGACGGGAGTACTGATGGATCTAGATTATTCTTGGTCCTTTCAGGTTATTTAATTGGAGATGAAGTTGTGCTGTTTAACATCATAGACTTTTTTTTTTTGTTTCCCCTTCAATCATCAAGGCTGTTTCTGGAATGTGTGAAGAATATTCCAACAACTACTTAATTTATTAAGACATCCTTAATTTATTTTCAGAATCTATTTCTGATTGTAAGGCTATTTATAAATAAACAAATATCTAAATATAAAAATCCTTTAAACAAACACAGTCATCAATTTGCTATATGAAAAATAGTAATATCAGATATGACTATATTGCATCTTTCTCCAATCTAGAAACTCAACAGTAACTAAGAAATTTAGCAGATACTTGGCTGCATTGTAGATCAATATGAAAGCAAGCAGAGTGCTGAGTTCCTTAACTCTCATGCTTATTTTATTACTTCTTGCCAAATCGCAAATGGTTTTATGTATTCCCAATTGCAATTTCAACTAAGTTGATGGATTGCGTGTACTGAGCAAACTAATTCCTCAGTGTGTAGGTGTACCATATAGTTATGGTTCATATCTACAAAATCTTTTATAAAGGATGCTTGATACTTACAGTTTGCAAGACACCTCATTGCTGACAGAACCCAATGTGGAAGTTCTTCTGTTTGGAAAAGGAAAATTATTTAGGCCCTTTTTTAGACATTACAAATTAAGAGTTAAATCCTAAAAAGGAGCAATCTTAAAGTCCTCCTGGGGTGTAATCAGCGTCTCTTTGAGCTGAACTGTCTCCAAGGTGTTTGAACCAACCCCCTGTGGTGGTCTTGGTAGTCCGGATCCTGAGCCAGGCAGACTCACAGTACTCCATGGCACGCACTGGTGATGACAGCACAGCCAGCTTGGCTCATCGGAAGGACTTGGAAGGACAGACACTGGGTGCTCCCACACAGCTCCTGTCACTGGGGGTAGGGAATTTTCCCACACAGCTCCTGTCACTGGGGGTAGGGAATTCTCCCACACAGCTATTGTCAGCAAGCAAGGGTAGGACCACCTTAACCATAGGGCTTTTGCAAGTCAAAGTCCTAACGGGTAAGAAGATCGTAGCTGGATAAGCAGCGGCAAAGTTTGCCAAACAGTGCTATCAATGGCAAGGTATGCGGTTTTAGCTGGTTAGACCCAATGCACACTCTGGGGTCCCCAAGCCTTGGATCCTGGCAATCTGCACCTAATGCTTTCCAGAATTAAGCAGGATGCATTCCTCTAGGGAGTGCGCGCATTCCATTCCAATAATCAATCTCTATAATTCCCATGCATATGTGAGATGCATGGAATTCTCAGTTTGTTTTGGATACTCTTAAGCATCGTTTCCGAATATGTCACACCAAAAAAAAGGATTTTTAAAATTAAACAATTGTGAAAAGCAATGAACACAAAGATACCTGATTTGTTCTCTAGAATTACTATTCCTTGCTTATTAATATAATGTACATTATACATGATGTGTTTCGGGTTGACTAGTTTAGCATCAAGCACTCCATCCAGGGAATCCAGCCCTAGGATCTTCTGCAACCTGGAAGTCAAAAGAAATTTGAACAATAGAACTTTGAGTATTCTTGCATTTTGAGGAAAAATATATTGCTCTTATAGTAAATACACAGTTACCATTTAGAGCAAATATAAAATAGGTATTTCAGCTAACTCTTCCAATGAACCAAGAAAACAATTTTAGAACAGGATCAACAAGCTGATCATGTGTATCAATTTGGTTCAGTTGGTTGAACTCCAGGTTCTAGGCCAGATTTGGGTATCAACCCAAGGTGGAAAAAATTGGGTCTGAAAGTGACCCCTGACCACGACAAAAGACATGGGTGAGAGTTTTGGCTGTGTTGGGAATGAAGTAATAGTGGAGCTAAGAAGGTTAAAGGAAGCAGACTTGGTCAGCGCCTCAATGAAAGGTTGGAAGGAGACTTGAGGATCACAGTGGGAGTGATGTCAGCAACAATGTGAGAAAGTGGGAGCCATTGAAAAGAAATACCCTCTTTAGAAATGATATTAAGCACGCTGAGACACCACCCTGCGTGGAGGGCACTATATAATTGCAAGTTGTTGTTGTTAATATACAATTTACAATGAAGTTTTGCTAATCGAAGACTGAATTTGGCAGCAAAAATTATTCAGTAAACCAAACTATTCATTTAACTAGACTAAACATAAGGAGACTCATCTCCCAGAGATTGAGGCATGCAGCCTCCAACCACACTGTAACTGGAAACACTCTCCCCATTCGGACGCATCTTCATTCACGTGTGGAACCAGTCAATCGCCAACGACCTCTCCAGGGAGCGAGAGGACATGAGGGGGAAGGAGGAGAAGAAGCTGATGATGTTCTCGCTATACCATGAAGGTAATGATTTGGGATTACGTGTTTATCCGTACTAAGATTAATGGTTTTATACGGGCAGACACGAGAAAATTGTTCAATAAACCAAATTATTCATATACCCGGTATTCAAATTACCCAATCTGTATTCTTAGATTAAACGTGCAGAAGGGATTTGGGATTTCTAAATTCTATTGAATAAACCAAATTATTCAATTATCTGATATTCAATTAACAGAATTTCACTGTATTAAGCTATAAAATAGAATATACAACATATGGGGAATAAAGCAGCATTTGAGTAAATGGCCCCATTAAAAGTCACACTATACAATCATGATTTTTAGGAATCTAATGTTATTTATTTTGGAAATGAGAAGTGGGGAAACTCGGGGAAGAGAAAGCACAAACACGTTTCACCTACTTTGATAGTGTAATTGATTTCCAAATTTCTTCCATAGTTCCTTTTGAAATCTCTTTCCTGTATATTATTCGACACTCGGGTACTTCCCCAATTGCAATGCTGTGCCGCTTCTGCCACAAATCAGCATTCTAGAACACATCGCAATAAAAACAGTCAAGTGAATGTAGAAACTTACAATACATCACAAAGTACATTATGCTACTGTTAAATCAGAGCTTCCAACACACTTTCAAACAACATTTATTGAATTAAGTGGTTTGTATACACACAAAATTAACGTTAAGAATTTAATGAGAATTTAACAGGATTAGATATGTACTATTCGGTAAGAATTTTCACACAACATTGAAGATTGACACAAAGCAGAAATAACTAATTCATACATTGATGTCTATATATCAGACAGGGAAACACAATCAAGTGGTTCCATTACTACATATCAAACATCAAGTACTACTTACTTAAATAGACTAAGATAATTACTTTTTAAATTGTAATTAATCCAATCTTTGATACTTGAGTGTTTTGCATGGCAGAGATCTCATGATAGAGATGAATGGATATCAAAAATGCTACATAAAGCTTTGAGTAGTGTGTACAACAGAAATGCCAGCTATCCACAAAAGTGAAATTTCATTATAGTCGACTTTTCCTATTCAGGTTATTTGTGGCATAAGAAACTGTATAGTTTTTATGAGCCATTGCAACCAAAGCCAATAAATTCAGGTAAAACAAAGTCTTCCAGGCATAATTATTTGGGGCCCCCAAAGATAAAGCATTTTACAATTTAAAATCCCATATTTAATGCAAGACGATGCACGTTTTACATCTTCAGCATTCAGTTTAATATATTGTAGCGCGAAACAAACATAATTAGTGAAACAGAACTTTTAATATGTTTGTGTATATTTTACCCATTTTTACCATTTCTAGTAATAATAATTGTACATGTCTTAATTCTATAGTTTTTATGTTCTTTAATTATAGAAAAGAGAAATATACAATTTGATTAAAAAATTTCCCCAATAATAAAAATTGAAAAACATCTGAAAAAATATATGGCTAGTAATCTCTGACAACAAAAATGGCCAACCTCCAGGATGTGAAGGCACAATAGATATCACACTGCACATGTGCGCTTTGCGCAGGCAATGTCACACACGTTGTCAGCCATTTTTGTAGTTCAAAACAATTTTTTAAAATTGTCAACAATAGGAATTCATTTTCCTCGGTTCTGCAGAAAATTGAAAGACTCGATAAATAATTTTTAATTAATTAAAATTGAAAACGGGTAGATCCATCTATGATCCAGAACCCTACAATATGCTGCTCAAAGCTATCTTTGTAGCAGAAAAAAATCACGAGTGCACTTTATGCCCTTAATGTATTTCAATCGCTACTGAACAATACAAATCATATATCTACAAATTACAGTATTTCAACGTGTCTTACCAAAATTACAGGTCTCACCAGGACAGGACCCTGTCTTGGAACATCGTAGTCATTCCAGTCTGGAAATATGGGATTTAAGTCACGGACTAAACGTGTTGTCTTTTTTGGATAGGGCTTAAGAGGAGATGATGGAGGAAATCTAAAGAAAAAAATGTATAATCGTAGAATCAACATATTTACATACAGGGCAACCATTTATAGCACTGTTGCCTTGATCCAGGAATTACCTGGAACCAATATCATGAAAAAATGTCTGTCCCTGCTAGTGTTATATTCTACACATTGTAATAATAATCTTTGCATTTAATGTAGCGCTTTTCACGTCTTCGAGACATCTCAAAGCGCTTCACAGAATATACTGTAAGGTGAATTGACTGTATATTTATGGGCGAAAAGTGGAGCCAATTGCACATAGCAGTGTCCCACAAACAGTCGTGGATTGAAGTGACCAATTTTATTATTGTTTTTTTTTCTTGAGGGATTATTATCAGGGGTGGAGTAAGGAAACTTGCCCAAGGTTTCGCCCTGTCGCGAATCGAACCCAGGTCTCTCGCTTGCGAGGCAAGTGCTCTAACCACTGAGCTACAGGACTTCATACAGCACGAACATCATTTTCCACACCTGCACATGAGCACCATGGATAACAAGCACTGCTGATCTTCAGATTTAGCGTAGCAGTTTTCACATCAAGAGGACATCTCAAATCGCTTCACAGGATATACTGTAAAGTGCAGTGATTGTGTGCATTGTGAGCCAACTCGGCAACCAATTTGCAATGTCCCCTTGTTTCACAAAGTAACATCAGTATTGCTGGACCTCAACACAGGAAGTAACAGATAAAGACCCAAAGATATGGAAGTTAGCCATAATTTAGTACCAGAGGCTGGGTGTACTGCACTGAAGGAAAAGCTATATTAAAATGAGGAGAAAAAGCATTAAGGGTTACCCTGAATCAAATTAGTCTCTATAACTATATTCTAATTCAATTGTTCGTAAAAAAATCTGAGTGGGTCAATGTGTTCCAGAACCAAAAAATTGAACATGTTCAATTATATATTTTAAAAGCTTGTTTCCCATAGGAGCAAATTGAAAACTATGCACTCCAGTTACTCAAGTGAACCTTTTGAGGCACAGCTCAAGAACATTGCAATCAAGGCCTGGGGACCTATCGTTTGTTAGCTCAACACCGATGAGGGACAGTGGGGTTAAAAAGAAAAAAGAAAAACAAAATAAATTAAGGAGCCTCACGTTTACCTATACAGGCGATTGTTGTCTTCAAAGTCTTCTTTTCCCCATCTTCCCTTTATATCTTCAATCACATGATTTTTTAAAAACTTTTTGAGTAACTGTACAGTCTGGCTGCGAGTAACTTCAGAACCAAAGTTGTGGTTGCATCTAAGTAGTTTATGTAAGCAATCAACACCCTCCGAGGCAGAAAAACAATGGCCATAGGTACGAAAATGAAGTCGATGCTTCTTTAAGGGCATTCCTCCTCGAAAAAGCTTGATAGTTTCATTCCACTGGGAAAGAGAAAAACAGGAATTCAAAATTAATCTTAACCAATTTGCTTCAGAATAAATCGTGACATTAGTCAGTTTTTACTGATTTTCACCATATATTCACAGATTTGTTTCCATTAAAAGGTACTCTGATAGATAATGAATAAAAAAAACTCATTTTTTTCAAAATAAAAACTGAAATCTTTTCAGATTTGTTAGGCAAACCAGCAGGCATTTTGCATACAACAAGAACCCACAAATACACATGGAGGTAAATGGCCACAGACAATAACAACCACAGCAAATTATATTTATATAATGCCTTTCAGCTCGGGATGATATACCAAGGCTAGTCAATCAAGGGTTTGCACTAGAGTTGGGGGATGGAATCAAGAAGGGTGGAAGGCAAAGGTGATTGGGAGGATGAGCAAAGGCATGGTCAAAGAGTCTGGCCTTGAGGGAGGCAAAGGAGGGGAAAGGCAAAGGGACTCAGGATGGAATTCCAGAGGGTAGGGCAGAATAGTTAAAAGTCCGACCACCGATGGTGGGGTGGCTAGGGGACATGAAGCATGCCAGCGCCCGCTGAGCAGAGGGAGCAGGCAGGATGGTAAGGACGCAAGGGTAGAGATGGGCAAGACCGTGCAGGGCTTTAAAAATGAGGAAGAGTATCTTAAACTTGATCCTCTGGGGATAGGTAGCCAATGAATCCACGATGGGGGTGATCGGCTCACGGAGCTTATAATAATAATAATAATAATCCTTGCATTTGCTATAGCGCTTTTCACGTCGGGAGGACGTCCCAAAGCGCTGCACAGAACACACTGTAAAGTGAATTGACTGTGTATTTGTGGGCGAACGCGGCAGCCAATTGCGCACAGCAATGTCCCACAAACAGTCGTGGATTGAAAATGGCCAATTTATTATTGTTTTTGGTTTTGGAGGGATTATTATTAGGTGTGTGGAGTAAGGAAATTTGCCCAAGGTTTCGCCCTCTGCCTGGAATTGAACTCAGGTCTCTCGCTTGCAAAGCGAGTGCTCTAACCACTGAGCTACAGGACTCCACGTGCTTAGTGTGGTAAAGAACAGGAGCTGTAGAGTTCTAAATAATCTTCGGTTTCTGGATTATTCAGAAGAGTGTTGGGAAGTCAGGTAAACAGGGAGTTAGCATAGTCAACCCTGGATGTGATGAACCCATGGATGAGGGTCTCGGGGGGCTGAGGGGTTAGGTAGAGGTTGAGGCCGGCAATATTGGGGAGGCAGCGGAAGGCAGAACAGATTAAAGGACGGTTGAGAGTCAAACAGAACACCAAGGCTCCATACTGGTTCCGTGAGGTGGAGAGTATATGCATGAATTGTAACGCTGTCAGCACCTGAGGTGAGGAGGAGGTGCTGACAGGACCCAAGCAGGAAGGCCTCGGTCTTGTCGACATTCAACTGGAGAAAGTTAGCTCTTATCCAGGACTTGATGTCTGACAGGTAATCCATCAGGGAATAAACAATTTTTCTTCAAGCTATCAAACTATGAATGTACAAGATTAAAAAAAATGAAAACCAAATCAAAGTTTATTTATACAAAATTATAATGCCCTCTTGAGCCAATTCCACCATCTTATTGGACCATTATAGAGTTAATCCATATCTGTCAATACATCTATTTCCTAAGCATTTATCTACCTTTAACATAATCAATTATGGATATACAGCCATTTGAAGAAATGTATTCTACATTCTCAGAACTCATTGTGTGAAGAAATGTTTTCTTAATTCACTTTTAAGATGGTCTTTTATTTTACACCGCTTTATGTAGCTTGATGTGCATTATTACGCGCTCCAAAACCCTACTCTGCGTGAAGAGTGCTATATTAATGCAACTTGTTGTATTTTAATAATATTAAACAAGTATTTTAAACACCTCAATCAGATCACCTTTAACCTCCTCAATTCTAGGCAATATAATCTAATTTTGCCTAGCCTGAACAGATAATCTCTTTAACCCCAGGTGTTAATCTGGTGAAAAGTTATTGGACACCCTCTAAGGTTAGTAGAATAATAATAATCCTTGCATTTGATACAGCGCTTTTCACGTCTTCTAGACGTCTCAAAGAACTTCACAGAATATACTGTAAAGTGAATTGACTGTATATTTGTGGGCGAAACGTGGCAACCAATTGCACACAGCAGATGAAAACAATGAAATAGTAATAACGATCTTTGTATTTGATATGCTTTCTAAGGATGGAAACTCAAACTGGATATATTACTGATATCTGACCAGCAATCCAAGACATGTGCAGAAACACTTCCTTGCTTTTATATTCCAGAAACCTCCTTATAAAGCGCAGCATCCATTAGTTTTTTTGATTGTGATCTACACCTGTAAACTAGCGTTCAGCGACTCAAGTACTCAGACCCTTCACATTACTTTGTTCATCTACCAAACTAATGTCTCTCCATTTGCAAGATATTCTTGTCGGCCATTCTTGCATCTCAAATATATTTGCTCAAGTACATACAGTGACTACACTTTACAGTAAATCCTGTGAAGTCCTTTGAGATATTTTGGCAATATGACAAGGCCTTATTTTAAATGTAAGGATGCTTATTATTTACTGTCTCATGCTACAATGTTTCCGCCCAGTTATCTTAGCTTTAATGAACCAAAATTAAAAACGAATGGATTAGAGCTAACAAACCAGATACTTATAACCTGATGAGAAAGAACAAAATGAATATTCTGGATGGTACAATCTCAAAGGTGAAGAAACAAAGAGACCAGGGGGTTAATAACAGTAAATCTTTGAAGGTGGCAGGACAGGTAGATAAAGCTGTTAAAAAAACACATGGAATATCAGGCTTTATAACTAGTGGCATAGAATACAAAAATCAGGAAGTTATGATAAACCTTTACAAAACACTTGTTAAGCCTCAGCTGGAGTATTGTGTTCAGTTCTGGATACCACACTTTAGGAAGTACGTCAGGGCATTGGAGAGGATGCAAAGGAGATTTACCCGGATGATACCAGGGATGAGGGACTTCAGTTATCAGGAGAGGCTAGAGAAGCTAGGATTATTCTCCTTGGACCAGAGAAGATTAAGATGAGACTTAATAGAAGTTTTCAAAATTGTGAGGGGATTCGATACGGTGAACAAGGAGAAACTATTTCCACTGGCGGGTGGGTCGGTAACCCGAGGACACCGATTTAAAATAGTTATTAAAAGAAACAGAGGGGAGATGAGGAGAATTTTTTCACACAGTGAGTTGTTCGGATCTGGAATGCATTGCCTGAAAAGTTGGTGGAAGCCGATTTGATAACAACTTTTAAGAGAGAAGTAGATCATTATTTGGGGAGGACAAGTTTGCAGAGCTATGGGGAGAGAGCAGAGTAGTGGGATTGAATTGGATAGCTCTTTTCAAAAAGCCGGCACAGACACGACAGGCCGAATGGCCTCCTTTTGTGCTATACAATTCTATGGTTCTTATTGGCAATGTCAATACCGAGCCAAATTGCCCTCCAAGTAATTTCTCCTATGATGTTCCATATCGCAAATCATTTGGTCTTTACTCGTAAATGAAATTTATAACACCTTATCACCTCATCAAGACGTCTCAAAACGCTTCACAGCATATGCTGTAAAATGGTGCAACCGCATATATTTTGTGTGTGAACACGACATCAAATTTGCACACAGCAATTACCCCACAAAAAACATGAAATGAATGACCAATTTTATTTGAGGAATTGTTGGCCAAAACATTGGGGAAAACTCCTATCTTTTCGAATAATACCACAGGATCTTTAACGTCCATCTGAACAGGCTGATTGGACCTCAGTTTAACCTCCAACATTGCAGTGCTCCCCCTTGCCAACCAAGATTGTGAGCTCAGTCCCAAGGCAGGGCTTGAACCCACAATCTTCTGACTCAGAAGCGAGAATGCTACCTACTGAGCCAGGCTGCCCCTTGTACATAAACAACACCAATCTCTCTCTATCTCCCCCCTGGATTACAGGACTTGTGCTTTTTTGACCAATTACCCTTCATCCATCAAGTCCTGAATGAGTTCCAACTTCTACAGCTCAATGTCACCAAGACAGAGGCTCTCCTTCTTTGCTCCTAACAGCACCTCATCACCTCAGGATCTGACTGCATCAACCTAAATGCATGCTCAGTTCATCTCACAGATGGTAATAGGGAACCTTTGGGTTTTATTCAAACCTTCAATTCTTTTTCAAAGCATAGATCCGGGTTCTCACCCACTCAGCCTTCCCTCACTTCTGCAATATCACCAAGCTCTGCCACCACCTCTCCTTCAGGCTGCGGAGAGCCTCATGCATAACTTCATCACATCCATGTTCAATTATTATAACTTGCTACACTTCCCAGCTCTTCACGACACAAGATGCAGATCATCCAGAATTCTGCAACCTGTGTCCTCTCCCACACCAGGAGCTGTGAGCCTATCACATTGATCCTTGCTTGCTTCCCCTGAACTCAAAATCTTTGTCCTCATTTTCAAATGTCTCCTCCTCCTTCCACAAAAAATAAAATAGCATTCTGCAATGCAGCTGACATTCCAATAAAATTCCTCTCCCTATGTACAACGTCTATGTACTGCCGCAATTAGAGGTACTCAGAATTTCACTGATCTGCTTAAGATATAAATCAATTACTTCTCTTTATGTACAAAAGTTAGAATCAAACATGACAACAAATAGCTTAGGTTGAAGGTTCATTTCAGCGTAATCAGCTAGAAGAATCATTTCTATTAAGACATAGAAAACCTTAAACTTAGAACAATGATTCTTCAAACGATTGGTTCTTTTCTAATTTAAATAATGCACAAATTAGTCTCATCCACTGATCCCATGTTGAACTACAACCATTTTTAATTGGAGCAGTTTTTAAAAATGTTTGCTGCAGAGATTCCCCAGAGCTTATTTAAATTACACGAGCCTCAAATGTCTGCAAACAAACTGTAGTAATTAGTCTTTTCTTAAAATTATTTCCTGCAATTACCTTGGATAGATACAATAAATGTTTTGATGTACGTTATCTGTGATCTGATGGAATATTTGGCACGAATATCACTATTTAGACTTACTTCAAAGAGAAGTGCAGCAGGAAATCTTTGAAAGTCCATTTTATTTTAATAATTTACTGGTCCCCATGGTCTAGGATTTCTTACCCCCATTACAGCATTTCTCTGAAAATATACTTGAGTAATTAAATTACATCAAGGCTTGACTATGCAAACTCATTGCTTATCGGCCTCCCCAACTCCCCTCCACAGCCTGCAGATCATCCAGAACTCTGCAGCCCTCATCCTCTTCCCGCGGCAGGCTCCGTGACCCTATCACCCCCATCCTCACTGGCTTCCCATCACACAGAGGATACAGTTCAAGATCCTGATCTCCACCTTCATAGCCCTCCATGGTCTCTACTTCTGCGATCTCCTAAGCCCCTACCATCCTGCTCATGTCCTCCGCCTCGCTCATCCCACTATTGGTGGGCAGACCACCTGCCACTCTGTGCCCACCCTCTGGAACTTCATCCCGCAGTCCCTTCGCCTCACCCCCTCCCTTGCCTTCTTCAAGACCCGTCTCACAACCCTCTTTTTCGATTGTGCTTTCGATCTCCCTGCTTCCACCCCCTGCCCTCCACCCTCCCCGACCCCCAGCTCAGGTCCGAAATCTATCTGTCCATCGCCTTAAGACATCCTCCCAATGTGCAAGGCACTATACAAATGTAATTTTGCTGCTGTTGTTAAATTGTCAACTTTACTGCTGAGCTTCAAAAGAGTGCTCAATTTCTTAGAAAAGTGGGGGAACAAAGGCAACTAAATATAATAGACATCCTGCACAGACCGAGTTACTGCAAAGTTCTGGAAAATTTGATTTGGTGCCAAGAGTAATCTCAACTAAACATTTAAATGCAATATCAAGCAGTTTCCCATTCAAGCCTAGTAAGCCACCTAGTAAATCCTATTCTCAAAATTACATTTGTATAGCACCTTTCACGTTGGGAGGACGTCCCAAGGCACCGACCTTCAATATCAACCACTTTTTCAAGCATCTATCCAGTTCCTTGTTAAAATTAATTTATCGACTCTGCCTCAACATCATTTGGGGCAGAGAACTCCACAAATGACTAAAGATAAATTTTTCAAACCACTAATTCATGAATTCATAGAACCTTTAATTTTTCAAACCTTTAATTCATGAATTCATAGAATGTTAGCCTATTACAGCACATGGGCTGTACTAAAACATTCACTCAAATTCCTTAATTTTTCTGTGCTGTTTGTTTTTTCATTTGCAGTTAGCACTGCATCCAAAATAATAAACAAGTGTGTCAGTAACACCATGAAGTTTGGTTAACCTAGAAGGCTGCAAGACAAGCTCGTCATCATACAGTATATCATAACATTACTTGGAGCTGCATTATTAAATCTTCCTCCACGAATGATTTTTTTTAAACATTTACTTTAACAACAACAAATTGCATTTATATAGCACCTTTCATGTCGAGAGAGCGCCCCAAGGCACTTAAACATTTTAGGATTCATTTTCTGATAACTGAATATCTTTTAGTAAAACAGTAAAGTTAAAATTAGAATTCAAATATCTCATAATTTGTGACTTTTCCATTTTACAATGCAAAATTACATTTGCAAAAGCGCTTTTTGCATTGGGTGGACATCTCAAAGCGCTGTACAGTGAGGGATTAGAACCCAAGCGGGTGGGGGTGGGGGTTTGTTGGGATCAGGGAGGGTGGAGGGCAGAGAGGGTGGCCAACCGCATGGTCGAAGAGGAGGGTCTTGAGGCGTGTCTTGAAGGAGGTGAAGGGAATGAGGGTTGGAGTTCCAGAGGGTGGGGGCAGAGAGGCTGAAGGCCCAACCGCCGATGGTGGGGCGGGCCGGGCAGGGCAAATGGAGCAGGCCGGAGCCTGCTGAGGGGAGGAAGTGGATAGGTTGATAAAGGGTTAGCAGGTCGGAGAGGTAGGCGAGGGCAAGGCCACAGAGGGCCTTGAAGATAAGGACGAGAATTTTGGACTCGATCCTCAGGAATGGGGAGCCAGTGAGCCGGGCAAGGCTGGTGTGGGAGAGGATACGAGTTGCAGAGTTCTGGATGATCTGCAACTTGTGGAGTAAAGAGTTGGGAAGACCGACAAGCAGGGCGTTGGCATTTTAATTTGTATACTGCAGAATCCATAATTAAGCAACTATCTTAAAGGGAAGAAAGTCTAGTACTGAACAAAATGTTCAAGTTCCTAAAACCATTAACAAACAAAATAGTGAACATGATTGCTACAGTTCACAGCCATGTAGAAAGGAAATGCCATGTTGTCTTGTCACAAAAGAGAAGCCTCTAGACAAAACGTTCAAAGGGTTAGAGCTGATTAAATATGTACCAGTCTTTCTGTGTCCCCTCACCCCACAAATGACCACTCTTCAATAACAAAACATCATGTATGTACTGGTACTACGTATCCCATTGTATTGTTGTATTGACTCTAATCCCATTCCGCTGCTCTTTCTCCATGTACTTTAACATTTAGGTGCCGACTTGGCTCAGTTAACACTCTTGCCTACAAAGCCCTCCATGGCCTTGCCCCAACCTACCTCTGTGATATCCTAACCCTCTACCAATCCGCCGGCTACCTCCGCTCAGCCGGCTCCGGCCTGCTCCACGTCACCCCGACCCACCCGCCCCATCATTGGCGGGAGAGTCTTCAGCCACTCTGCCGCCAACCTCTGGAATTCCATCCCCCAATCACTCCGCCTCGTCCCCTCCTTAATAATAATCCTTAGCCTCCTTCAAGTCCTGCCTCAAAACCCTCCTCTTCGACCATGACATCGGCCACCCCACACCCCCCCACCCCCCGATCCCAGCTCGGGTCTGAAATGCTGGACACTGTCCAGCGCCTTGGGACGTCCTCCCGACCTAAAAGGCGCTATACACATGTAATCTTGTTGTTGTTGCCTCTGAGCAGAAAGTATTTAAGTTTGGTGATGGACTCTTGGTCTTTGTCTAACACTCAAGTCCAGTGAAATGGAAAGGTCACAAATTAACATTTTTTGTACAGAGCCATGAGCTCTTTAAAGTTGATCTGTACAGGCAGACAGGGCTTTTGGGTTATTTCCATGAGTGGGAAATCAGAACATATGGTTCTCCAATTGTAACCTAACCAATGTTGTGTGCAAATTTAGCATCATCACTTGTGGTAATAATAATTCTTGCATAGCACCTCATGTCGTCAAGACATCTCAAAGCGCTTCACAGGATATACTGTAAACCAGAATGACTGTACATTATGTGGGTGAAACATGGCAATCTTAAATGTGTACACAACATTAGTTAGATTAGTTAAAACGTTTGGTAGATTTGGTGGATTTTATAGACCCGACTTCTTGCATATCAACCTTCAAAGTCGATGTTAATAGCCCCTCAGTTCCTGGTGTGTAGGATGCATTTACAAAGCACCGGCAGTCATTATAAGTGAAGGAACATCACATGCACAAACACTTGCATAAACATTCACCATCTGAAAACATACTCCAATTACTTGCATTTATAATAATGATAATAATCCTTGCATTTGTTATAGCGCTTTTCACGTCTTCTAGACGTTTCAAAGCGCTTCACAGAATAGGCTGTAAAGTGAATTGACCGTATATTTGTGGGCGAAATAGTGCCTTTCAAGCGGGGTGCCGTCTCGGAGTGCTTAACAGAGGCAGGGCTTCACGTTGAACCAGGGTTAGGTAGCCATAAAAAAGAGGAAGGTCTTCAAGCGCGATTTGAAAAAGGGGAAGGAGGGGGAATGGCGGAGGGATTGAGGAAGAGAATACGTTTTGGCGGCGTAGTAGCTGAAAGCACGACAAGGCACCCTTTCAAGTTGGAAGACGATTTGAAGAACTCGGTGCAGGGCCAACCTGCTATAATAACACAACGGAAAAGTTCTGCTGCCTTCTGAAGTTAGAAAGGAGGACATTACACAAACGTGTTAAAGAGCCACCCGTGCGAAGTGCAACAACTTACATTTGTATAGCGCCCTCCATTGCTGGGGAGGGTCTCAGAGCGCTGATCAGCCGCTGAGCTCCACATGGAGGTGGGGAGAGAGGGGTGAGGTGACCGGAAAAAGGTCAACGAGGAAGGTCTTCGGAAGACGGGCAAATAGTGGGCAAGAGGGTCGGATAATAATAATCCTTCCATTTGATACAGCGCCTTATCACATCGTCTCCAGACGTCTCAAAGCGCTTCACAGAATGATACTGTAAAGTGGGTCGACTGTGTATATTGTGGGCGAAACGCGGCCAGTGGTGCAGAGAGCGCTCCGGAGCCTCGGGGCACCGAAGGCAGAATAACAAAGTCTCGGGTGCAAACTGCACTCCCAGCCCCGGCTGCACCGGCCGGTGAGACTCGGAACCGCGGCAGAGGCGCCCCCTCCCTTCCCCCTTCCCTTCCCCCTCCCAGACCAAGTCACCCGCTCACCAGTTTGGTTGCCCTGTAGGGCCCCGGGGCTATGATGCCACTCTCCATGGTGCTCGCGCTGTCTCGGCTCGGCCCCGGCCCACAGGCCCCCACATCAGTCAGCCACAGTGACCGTTGGGAGTCACGGCCTCCGGCCGCTCGAGCTCCTTCAACCCCCGGCAGTTTGAATCGGGAGCTCGCGCGCCCGGCGCCCTCTGATTGGACAGGAGCGGAGGTCCCGTGACCCGGTAACCGGGCAACCGGTCAGGAACGCTTAACGTTCGGTGTGGGGGGGGGGGGAGGAGAGGAGAGGAGAGCGGGCCAATCGGAGCCCAGCATGAAGGGCACGTGATCGGAGCGCTGGGGTTGGTGACGGTTGGCTGCTGTACACATCAATGAACAAATCAGAGGGGAAAAAAAACCTTAGCCGTGTTGCCCTGTGGTCAACGAGTGAATTAGTTCAGCGGTTTGGCTTTGCACTCCTAAAAACATGGATGGGAATGAGTCAGCCCGGGCTGTGACTGGGACGTCAAATGTCAACACCCATTCAGATATATATATATCTGTCATACATAGCAGATGTATGACAGGATCCAAGCGGCGTCTCTGCAAAAGATTCTCTGCAAAGTTAATAATAATAATAATAATAATCCTTGCATCTGATAGAGCGCCTTATCACGTCGTCGAGACGTCTCAAAGCGCTCCACAGGATATGCCGTCAAGTGAAACGACTTACGTGGGTGGGACGCGGCAGCCAATTGCGCACAGCAGTGGCCCACGAACAGTCGCGGATTGAAGTGACCAAATTATTTTTTTATTAAAAAAAAGAGATTATTATCCCCGGGAAAAGCGATCCGCCAAATCGACTAACAACCCGGTTCCTACTTTGCCGCTGGGCGTGGGGAGTGAGGACACTTCTCCGACATTTCGCCCGCCCGGGGATTGGATTACGATACTGAACCAAATTACGTTTGCGAAGCGCTGACGGGGTCAGCGGGTCAGGGGGGTGGGAGGGGGCGAGGCCGTGGAGCGCCTCGAGGACGAGGGTTTTGAATGCTATCCTCTGAGGGATGGGGAGCCAGTGGGGTCGGGCGAGGGTGGGGGTGATGGGGTCGCGGGGCCTGTGGTGCGGGACCGGCCACGAGCTGCAGAGTTCTGGTTGATCCGCAGCTTGTGGAGGGAAGAGTTGGGGAGGCCGGCAAGGAGGGAGTTTCCGTAGTCGAGCCTTGAGGTGACCTTATTTTCTGGCTCGTTCTGCCCAACTGAACTTGATACTCGGAGAGAAACGTCTTAGGGGAAGAGTGAACATTGAAATTAATAATAATAATAATAATCCTTGCATTTGATATAGCGCTTTTCACGTCGGGAGGACGTCCCAAAGCGCTTCACAGAACACACTGTAAAGTGAATTGACTGTATATTTGTGGGCGAACGCGGCAGCCAATTGCGCACAGCAATGTCCCACAAACAGTCGTAGATTGAAAATGACCAATTTATTATTGTTTTGTTTTTTTGGAGGGATTATTATTAGGCTCTGTGTGGAGTAAGGAAACTTGCCCAAGGTTTCGCCCTCTGCCTGGAATTGAACTCAGGTCTCTCACTTGCAAAGCGAGTGCTCTAACCACTGAGCTACAGGACTCCAAATTGAACTGAATGCTGCAATTCGACAAATATGGAAGGATCACTTCTCAAGACGATAATTGTTTTTTTCCTCCCCTCCTTTTTTGGGTGTCTTAAGAGGTCAAAAGGCCAGTAGTTTTAAACCCAACACCGCATGCAGAAAGCTGAAAAATATTTACACAATTACAATAGTAATCATCCTGCTTTTTTTAATTCAGTACATGCATTAATGCATAGTTGTAGTCATTTACAAGAGGTGCACTTAATAACAGTGGGTCATCTCAGAAAAAGTTTTAGATCACCTTACAGAATCTTATTTTTTCCAATGAAGACACCCTCCAACATACTTCAGGAGAGAGTCAGATCATGAAGTCAAAAGGACACTGTGCCTTAGAGGGCTCATTATTAACAGCATGTGGCCAGGACTGATGTGCAGTTTTATAAAAAACACAGGTAGCAAAGATAATATAAAAATACAAAATCTCAGATATACCATTTTACAACACAAAATATCCTCTGGTAAGATTACTTAACTTCAATGATCTCAGGAGATTCTTTTTAACCCTTTCACGCAAAATATCAATAAAATACAGATACACCCCCTTAAGACAAATATGCAATCTACTATCATTTCAATGGAATAAGATTTATTTTTTTAAAAATCAGTATTTTCTTTGAGAACAGTGCATATAAAGTCATCATGTCTGATTTGAAGACATTCATCCCAACAAGTATCGCCACATATGAAAGAAATTCATTTGAAAAAATGCCTGTAATAAAGATAATGGAAACTACATAATGGAGACAAAAGTTATGTATTGGATTATTACACAAAGATAAACTTCCAGGAATATGTTCAATACCCAACATAGTTCTCTCAATAAAAAGTCACTTGTGGCAATCTTGTCAAAATGCATCTGTGTCATTAGTTTTCCACCAACTATGGTTTCATGTAGTCTTTCAAAGAAAACCTGCATTACTCGTTCAAGTTACAATAACCTAACAGTACTTGGATTTGGAAATGTAAAAGTAAAATTCAACCCTTTTTAGAAAGTGGCAGGTTTCTAATTCACTCAGCTTCAATTTATCTGCTGCCTACTTGGAACAATACTCGAAAGATATTCGCCTTGCAGGTCTTTTCCATTTAAAATGGCCAATTCCAGTATAGCTCCCCCTTTAAAAAAAGAGTTCTGGGCAGGAGGATAAAATGATCCTTTTTTCCCCCACTCCCGAAACTGCAACAGCCCAGTAAATCCTATATACAAAACAAATTCATTGTTCACTAACAAGCTACTTAACATTTCTGCTCACTTTAAAATGCTGCCATTTGTTGGAACAGGAAATCTGTGGATCATGCAATAAAGCTCTTTTCTGTGATCACTGCCTTCTTTGGCACCTTCCGAAACATTAGGTAAAATATGGTTGCATTGTAATCGAGAGTGAAAGATTATGCCTTTTTCCCATTTTCCCAATAACACATACTTTTCATCCTTCAATTTCAGTCTGGTACAAACCTCCTGCCAAAGCCAAAGAGTACAAGAACTGTTCATGCTCCTTCTAATTTCTTTTTCTATATCTCTCACCCCACAAATTAATCTACATCTTTCTCTCTCCAAATTACAATCTACATCTCTCTCTTCCTGAGTTACATTCATATCTCTTTCTCTCCTCCAAGTTAGTCTTCAGACACTTCCTACAACTTTCTTCCCAATTCATTCAACAACTATATTACAAAAATCCCCGGCTATCGTATGCCTCAGATTTTCTTTAAAAAAAGGTCAACTTTCTGTCAAATCCCTTTATCCACTAATGGAATAGAACCATCTAAAAACATCCCTCAGATTTATCCAATCTAATAATTTATTTAAAATTAAAAGAAATCACGTCTTTTTATCATACCGTGTCTCAGCCGAAAACATTGTTCAAAATTATACAATCTTAACACTGATGCTAGTGTTTAGCCTTCTCTATTCAGCCACTATTTTTTCTCCCCTCAGTGTCTGTTTTCCTTGATATAGGCTGCAGCTGAATAAATCTATAAATAGGGCATTTGAGTGTTGAGCATAAAAAGCTAATTTCACTACTCAGTCACACAACTAAAAATAAAGGAACTCAGGCCCTTTTATCTGTGTTGAAATGGCAACAGAGAAAAAAATTCTATTGATGATCTACTGTTAAATAGGTTTGGTATCAATGAAAAAGAGCCAACGATAGTTCATAAAAATACAGTGGAATCCGCTTTAGTCGGACATCAGGTAAATCGAATGAAACGACTGGCCCTGATTCGTTTGTTTCTTACCCATTTTAAATACGTCTATTAATTTGGACAAAAATCCAGTTAATCCGTGCAAAATGCCGCACTGATCACTGCTGAATGTACTCACTGTGCCGCAAGTGGCTTCTGTGCCGCAAGTGGCTCCATTTAACCACAAGCAGCTCTGGAATAGAGATGGGAGGAGTCACATTGAGATTGACAGCAGACTCCAAACATTCGCAAGCGGGTCTGGGGGGGACAGTGACTGCATCCGTTAGAAGTGAAGGGGACCAATTAGCAGCGGCTCTGATTGACACCTCTTGGAGCTGCTACTAATCGGTCCACATCCAGAACGATGAGAACTGCAATGGGAGGGAAGAGGAGCTCAGCAGAGGAGACGATTTGCTGAGCGGAAAAAGAGAAAGGTAAGAACTTTGGTTACCCGACGCTGGGTAGATCAGACAAAACTTCCTGCCCTGATGTGTCTGACTAAAGCGAATTCCAATGTAAATGAAAATTAAGTGTTAGATTAGTTACAATGTGGTTAATGTAAATCATAATAAATACAAGATAAGCCTCTTGACTATATGAAGGAAAACCCTCTTGAAAGTTGCCTTATTTACATTAATACGTTGGAACCAGCAACATCACTACAATTGCTGAACATTACCCATGTTCAAGGTGCACAGCAAGAAGTGGAGTCTTGTGTGCCATCCTACTTTAAATCCAGTTTAGAACAGGAAGGGATTGAGTAATGCAATGTTTTAAGATGGACTTCTCCACAATGCAGCAGGTGAAACAATAGGCATGGTTTAGAGCTCAGGCAAAGTATCGAGATTGTGAGGATTGTGCCACTTTCTAAAGAGCTTTACTTTGACAAGTTTAGCAGCTACATGGTAGCATGCTTTGGTAACAACAAAATTATCACAAACATTACATTCATCACAAATACATATTATCCAATTTAAAAATGTGTACTCCACAATGTACATGTTCCTCAAAATTATCTAGAGCTTGAAGTACCAGTCAATTACATTCCAGTGTTAGAATTATATTCTGGTGGTAGAATTTTTAATGCTCTTTCTTCTGTTTCTTCGTCATGTCTTTTGGCAACCTCTGACCCTTTGTGTAAGCATGGTACCAGAAGTTGAGGAACAAAATCATGAACACAACTCCATACAGCCAGATGATGTAGAGGAAGACTGGGTATTGGTACTGGCAGTTTTTCATGAAGAAGAACTGCCCTATATGAACAGTAATAGTCACAAACTGGATCTGGAAGTAAAAAAAAGTTTAAATTGGTTATAATTTTAGAATCTAAACACAATACATATTAAGAAATCGTGTTAGAACAGTCAGAAATTATTACCAACTAAATATTGAGGAAAAACTGAAGATGGATAGAGCAAGTTAGAAAGAACCTACAAATCACGTCAATTCATTAACTCAGGATTTAAGAGCTATATTCTCTCACTTGCACATAGTCACCTGGTATAAGAGCACCACTTAGAATGTGCTGAATAGAGCAATGATCAATGACACAGAAGGCTGCTGAAGATTACACAAACACTGGGTACTGGAGCTCTACAAGAGGCAATTTACAATGCCAACAGACCACATTATAAAATTTAAGCCAGCACCAACAACCATTCAATGAAGCCTCTGGAGGAGAAAAAGTTACTCTGGGTTCCATACATTACTCAAATAGGCAATCAGCTTCATACAGCAAATCAAGTGTGCTGTAGCTTTAATATCTTGGTTTTGAGTTGTAGAAAAGTACTATACATATATATATATATATATATATAATCATATCACTGCATTCACCTCCAAATATGGATGTGCCTCAAGTCAATGGGTAAATGTACTTCATGGGATACCACAGAGACCCCAAATTTAACCTCTATACTGAGCTGATCTCCGCTTGAGCAGTGATGGAGAACTACAATTGGCCTCATCATTCCTCAACACACATTGGGGCACATGGAAATTCACAAGACCAGACAGGAGCATCGCAGTTCATCAGAGCTGCCCAAAGTAAAATAATCCTACATTATATAGTAGAACCCCATGATAATGCAGGTGCATTGTGGATCATGTTTGGTTTCAGTATGCAAATTGTCCAGCTTCACACAAGCTAAAAATAGTCACGTCCATGTTGTCACCACCACTTGCTGTGCACTCTCCATGCAGAAAAAGCCGCACATTTTCAGACATTGCCAAACAAATAAGTTACATAAGTTAGCAGCAATCAGACATTGGCCATTTTTAAACATGGAAACTCAGTGTGTATACACAGTAAGAAGCGTCATTCTCAACTATTCTGGTTTTGTGGCCCCTGTTAAATCAATGTTTGGGTTTATGATCTAAAACAGCAGGGTTCTTCTGGATCTCTTTGCCAATCAGTTGATTTTCTTTAGGCATGCTTCAAAGTCATTAAGTTTAGGTCCAGCTTCCATTGTGATTCAAGTGCACCAAAAGGGAACTGCATGTCGGCTTTTCAAAGAAATTATTTTCTTAATCAATTAATCCAGCCTACATTCACTCGTGCAGATTCACCCATTTTCAAGTTAATTGACTACTTACCTCAGTTTGTCAACTGATGAAAATTAGCTGCCTCCCTTGCCTACATTGCAAACCTTTTTTGATTAATCCAATATAGTAACGTATTTTGTGAATTCTTTTACACAAAGGTGCTATGGAAATTGCAAGTTGTAGTTTATAACGGGTTCCCCTGTTGTGGACATTTCTTTTTTAAAAAATTTGGTCACTCAATCCATGACTGTTTGTGGGACACTGATATGTGCAATTGGCTGCCGCATCTCGACCACAAAATACAGTCAATTCACTTTACAGTGTATTCTGAGAAGTGCGTTGAGACGTCTCAAAGACGTGATAAGGCGCTAGATCAAAATACAAAGATTATTATTATTGCAATCCTTAAACCCACAATGGGGGAACATTTTTTCAAACTCACATGAAATAAAATGTCAGTAATACTCACTAGCTGAATTGTAGTCATGTACTTTTTCCACCACAGATACTTCTGGTAAACTGGTCCCATTGCAGAAAGGCCATAGTAAGCATACATGATGACATGTACAACACAATTTACAAGAGCATGAAAGGTTCCAAGACCACCTGTGGGGGGATAGAGAAAGGATGGAAAAAAATTAAGCTTTTTGGGTTACTCAAATATTAATAGAACATACAAATAATAATAATAATAATCCTTGCATTTGATATAGCGCTTTTCACGTCGGGAGGACGTCCCAAAGCGCTTCACAGAACACACTGTAAAGTGAATTGACTGTATATTTGTGGGCGAACGCGGCAGCCAATTGCACACAGCAATGTCCCACAAACAGTCATAGATTGAAAATGACCAATTTATTATTGTTTTTGGAAAAAAAAAGTTTAAACCCCACATGTGCCAAGCAATCAAGTTGAACATATGTTACAAATGCAGAACCGTCTAGAACTTAAGGAACTCTAAACTTGAACTTGCAGTGCAAATACTTAATACAATCATAATTATGTTACTGGACAAGAATTGTAATATCTAGGCACAGTTTGCTAACTAAAAATTGTTTCTCGTCATGCAGGGTACCAACAACAACAAATTACATTTGTATAGCGCTTTTCACGTCAAGAGAACATCCCAAAGTGCTGGATAGTCAGGGATTTGGACCTGAGCAGGGGGTTGGAATCGGGGTGGGGGAGGAGGGGGGGAAATGGAGGGCAGGGGTAGGAAGGTAGTCAAATGCGCGATCAAAGAAGAGGGTCTTGAGATGTGATTTGAAAGAGACAAGGGAGGGAGCAAGGCAAAGGGACTGTGGGATGGAGTTCCAAGAGTGGGGGCAGAGAAGCTGAAGCCTTTGAGACATCTCAATGACATAATGAGCAACATCAAGGATTAAGTATTGAATATAATTTGCTCAGTGTATACCTATGACCCAGCTCTCTGTACAGTAATTGATATCATCAACTTGGCCTTGCATATTTCTATTGTATTGACTAATTGTTGCAGTGTATAATAATCCTTGCATTTGATATAGCACCTTATCAAATGTCACAATTATAAGGGAAAGGGGAAGTTGCTATGTTTCGAAATGTTTAACAAGTCTGTTGTGTTACTGAAATAAAAGCAGAATGTTGACTAACGCAGTAGATTTCTTTCAATTGTATTTGGTTCCTGTGCCACTAGAGGGCACTTTTGTGCATTTTGTAACTAAAGTACTATATCCCACAAAACATGCTTGCACCACCCAATGGCTGAAAGCTAGTTACTGCAAAAGTTCAATTACTATAGCACACAAACTATTTCCTTACCGCAGTTTGTCCCCAGGAAATAGTGGTAAATGTAGCATGGGTTATTTGGCAGTTAACAAGTTTTCACTTCTAAGCATTTCACTTCTACGTTTAGCAACTTCCCCACCCATTTTCTCACATTAAGCCCAGTAATCTACCTGGAGCAAATTTGACACCAAACCACCATGTGAAAGGCATGATAGAATGGTGATATACGTGAAGGAATGTCACTTGGCTGTTCTTTTTTCGAAGCACAAAGAAGATCTGTGAAAAAGATGGAGAGAACATTTAGTTTTGAGTTTTTTTTTAAAAAAGGAAAAAAAAAGTTGGAATTTAAAATGCTGGTAGTTGGCAGGACCTAACAGAGAAAGATCAATGGGACTTTTGTCAAAACTCAATTCATTGCTATCAGTAATTACCTTAGCCAGTGGTTACTTTAGTCAGTAGTTAACACCACTTTCCCTTGGTTTCCCAGCCATTTCACAATGTGCAAGGTGCTATATAAACATAAATTGCGTTGCACTTTTAATTATTTTGTTAAGTAAAGAGCATTTTGCAAGTTACTTGGAAATTCTACTGATAAAAAAAATTGTCTGTTGACCACTTATATAGAGAAGTTTAAAACTGTCCTAATGTGTTTTAATTTTGACTTTTATAAATCAAGTTATTGAAGATTTCAATCAACGTCCACAGCAAACTGTAACAGGTCAAACAGAATTCTGAAGGCTCCCGCCTTCTCACCCAAAAAACATCTTCCTTTTCTCTTTATTTATACTTACAGTGTCCAACAATTCGATGAACTTTGACATGTAAAAAAGCCAGCAGGTCCATGCCATCTAAGGGCCAAAAATATACATCAGTACAAGAAAGCACAAACCTTTTTCCAAAGGAAATCACTAAAAGTCCAAGTTTTAACAGCAATGGAGAATCAGATTGTGTACATAGTGGCAATAATCTGCAAATTCTTCCTCCCCACAAAAGTGAGTGGAACTTGAAACCCTTGTTGAAGATGAAACTTAATTTTAAAAATTCTATTTGCATTCTAATAGTCTTAATATATATGAGAGACTTCTCTTCATGGGATTTCTAACAGGAACAAAGAAAACCACAGTGGCAAATCAATCATAAATCAACAGATCAACATTGCAATTACACCAGCAACAGAACTGAGGTTGCTGAACCACCAAATGAAGCTCCTTCAGCCATTATCTCCAATGGCAGCAATGTCTCTGTAGGCAAAAAAAACCCTAGTGCCAGGAGTTCTGTTCCAATGAGATATTTTGCTGCAATTGGCCTGTACGGAGCTTTCCCAGNAAAAAAACATTGGAATGAGCGGTTACACCCTTCAAGATATCATTGGGACCAGTGTGAATTGCACATATCCATGTGTTATCGAATGTGTCTGATCACCATAGGGCTTCTCCCTCCCATTACTCATGCTACAACAATATTGAAGCTGCGGGAACTTCAATTGTAGCATGACAGTTTTTGAGCATTTTTACCATCGTCTCCAGAGATTGCTTGCGGCAAAAACATTCTGTGTATGTATTGACATCATTGGACAAATATTTTGATGAAGTTCAGTAAACTGGTGAACTCTGCTACCCAACTATCATAGACCAATAAGGTCTGCTGCCTAAATAACTAGCCTAGGCTGGAGGCACACCCCAAAAAATCTTCCTCCCTCCCCTCCACCCTCCTAACACACGCATACTTCTGCTATTTTTATTTGGTAAGTGCAGATGACAAAACAAGCATTCTAATGGTTTGTGCTTTTTTTAATGTTCATACTTGCTCTCGAGGTCATCATAATGACTTCAAGATGTCCACGCACTCCAACTCAGCAACGTTTCATTGTGGAATCAGATTCTGTGTGCGGAGACAATGGGAGAATGACTCCAAGTTGGGTCTTAGTAGATTTGGAACCAGAAAACTAGCCACTTTGCAGTAAGAGTTTATCGCCAAAAGCAACTAGTCTTGTAAAGTGTAAAAAAGTGTATAACTGCAATAAAAACAGTTAAATATTTACATACCCTGAGGGCTTGTGGAGAACTGGAATAATCCACAATGTCACAGTGGAACGAGTATCCTGTGGCCCATCCAGACATGAGAAACTGCAGATTTCAAGAGCAAGTACATGTCAATAAGGTGTGTAAAATACACTTGCTAAACTACACACCAGGTCTTAAAACACTTCGCAGGATATAAAAAAACAATAATAAATTGGTCACTTCAATCCACAACTGTTTGTGGGACATTGCTGCGTGCAATTTGGCTGCCGCATTTCACCCACAAATATACAGTCAATTCATATTACAGTATATTCTGTGAAGCGCATTGAGACATCTAGAAATGAAAAGCACTATATCAAATGCAAGGATTATTATTATTATGCTGTAAAGTGGAATGACTATTTTGTGGGCGAACACAGTAGCCAATTTGCACACAGCAATGTCCCACAAATAACCATGGAGTGAATGACTAATTTTATTTGGGGGGATTTGTTGGCCAGGACACAGGTAAAAATTCCCTTCTCTTTTTGAATAGTGCCATGGGATCTTTAAAGTCCACTTGAACCGGCAGATGGAATCTCAGATTAATGTCTCGTCTGAAGGATGTCACTTCCAAAAATGCAGCAAATCCCCAGTATTGCATTAGAGTGCCAGCTTAGACTATGATTCCAAGTCCCAACATGGGATTTGAACCCATAACATTCCAACTCAGAGGTGAGAGTGCTACCACTGAGCCGGGCTGACACACTTGCATATGAAGCATGTATGTTCACTTGAGTTTGGGTGGCAAAGCACCATTGTTGATATTTAAAGGAAAAAGTATTTGGAGCCCTCCGTAGCTGAGCAACACAGATATTCTCACCAACAGCAAATCAAAATGGTGGCCCAACTAAGATCCTTAGTTCGAAAAGAAATTTAACCAATAAAGGAATTGAGCCCACTCAAAGTGATAGCAACATTATATGAGCTCATTAATTCAGGTTATGCCAGTCTGAGGAGAGCTTGAAATTCCAGACTGGTTGCCAAGTTTAACATACTTGGGCACGTTTCACAGGTGGAACAAGATTCTTTTGTACCGCAGTGACTTATAGCTGCTTTAAGTTGGCTGCGGTGCTTGTAAAGAGCACTTTTCAGTCCACTTGGGTCACCAAGCAATTAGAGGAGAATCACAAATCACTGGATTCTACGGCAGGAATATCATCGCATGCAGAGATTCACTAGCACAAAATAAATTCCTATCCACTTAACTTATCAGGTGACTTTATTCAACGTACTTAGAACTTTTTTTTAAGCTATCTAGTTAAACAGATGGAGTGACAAAATTTTACAAGCCAGTTCTGGTCACGAGTTAATATAAATGCCATCATCTAGTTGAGATTTTATTTTACTCAATGCTTGTTCGCAAACGCAAATTGTCCACCAGCCAGCAGGGAACAGTGGAGCCTTTCGTTTGGATTTTAGCCAAAGCAAAACAACCAACAGATTCCCAACATTGTTTGGCATTTTTCAAAATGACATTAAACAAAAACACATTTAAACGATTCTATTCAAAAGATTTTTTCTAATAAAAAAATCCTACAATGATTTTCTTGGAGGTAATTGGCTGCTCCAGCATCCACAATGGTTGAATGGTGATAGTATCCCACAAGTTCAATGTTCAATCATGGATTTAGAAATGGCTGGATGCAAGTTTTTATTAAAATTTGGTGTATTTACCATTTTTTCCCCCCACACAAAAAAATGCTCTCCCTCCTGGTATATTCCCATCTGCCTCAGGTCTGGCCTCCTCTTGCTATGGTACAGTTCTAGTGGGCGCTAATTGTCCTCTAGACGGAACTGAAAACCCAGACTGCCACTCACCAGTAGCGGTGTAGAGTGATGAGGAGCTAGAACCCCAACTGTTTTTTCCCCTCCCTAACCCTGGAAAGGACAGACCAATTTAGCCTCCTCATGCAGTTTGACAGACACCAGCAAACTACACAAGACTGAAATTCTAATGTTGTCTGTAAATTGTAAATGATTCACTACGTCCTGGATCGAGCAATACAACACTCCTCCCATCACTACACTGGAGTGTCAGTCCAAATTATGAGCTCTAGCTTGGATGTGGAGTTTCAACCCATGAACGTTTGACCACCAGGTGTGAGTGCCACTAATTGAGAAGTGCATCTCTTTTCATCACTCTGCCCTCCCCAAAAACATCAGTCGATGTGCAACATGTTGTCAACCTAATCAAGTTAGTCACTCTCGCCGCTGAATCAGAAGATTGTGGATTCACAGTCCAGGTCTGGATTTTGAGCTCACTATGCTGACACGCCAGTGCAGTGCTAGGGGAGGGTACACTATTAGAAGTCCTCTTTCAGATGAGACACTGAAGTCCTATCTTCCTGTTCAGATGAACGTTAAAGATCTCATGGCACTATTTGAAAAGATGCGGTATGGATCATTTCACTCACCAGTGCCAATTCCAACCTTGAAGAGCCAGTTTAAACTGTCCAATTTCAGTTCATCCAACTTACAGCTTTGGCATATTCACTTAGTCACGTACCTAATGCTACATTTATAAGGGTTTTTGTTGTGTCTTTGGGGAAAAAGTCCAATACATTATATAGCACCTTTCACATCAGGAGGATGTCCCAAGGCACAAAACAATCCTGGTTCGAAACTCAAGCTGGGGTTGGGAACCGTAAGGGGGTGGGGGAGGGAGGGGAAAGTGGACTGAATACTTGGTCAAGGAGGTAGATTTAAATGAGGTGAGGGATAGTACAGTAGATGTAATGCTACAATGCCACAAGTCACAAAGTAGTCCTTTTTTTTCACTGAAGAGACATTTAAGGGGGACCCAATAGAAATTATAAAAGAATGCAATAATGTTCACATAAATAGTCTGTTTCCACTAGTTGGGGAGCCTGTTACCAGGGGACACAAATATAAGATAGCGACTAGGGGATCTAAAGAGAATTTAGGAGGAACTACTTCACACAGAGGCTAGTAAAATTGTGGAACTCACTGCCTGAAGTGGTGGTTGAATCAGATAGTACAGATGCATTCAAAAGGAAGCTAGACCTTCACATGAGGGAGAGCAGAATAATAATAATCCTTGCATTTGATTTAGCGCTTTTCACGTCTTCTCGATGTCTCAAAGTGCTTCACAGAGTATGCTGCAGAGCGAATTGACTGTATATTTGTGGGTGAAAACGCAGCAGCCAATTACGCACAGCAGTGTCCCACAAACAGACATGGACTGAAAATGACCAATTTATTATTGTTTTGTTTTGGAGGGATTATTATTAGGCGTGTGGAGTAAGGAAACTTGCCCAAGGTTTCGCCATGCCTGGAATTGAACCCAGGTCTCTCGCTTGCAAGGTGAGTGCTCTAACCACTGAGCTACAGGACTCCTGGAGGGTAAGGGTGGGAGTAAGGAGTGGGTGAAGACTTATTTGGAATATAAACACTGACACAGACTGGTTGGGCTGAGTGGCCTGTTTCCGTGCTATATGTTCTTTGTAAACCTTTGTAAAATACTTACTTCATAGCACATGTATATTGAAAACAGCACCAAGGAAAAGTTGTACACAATCATGATCTGCTTCAAGTTAAATGGCTTCCTGTTTTCCATAAACTTTGGCCCAAAAGAAGTTACAAAATAGATATAGGCTCCAATGATAATAGTTTGAGGGAGTGGAGAAGACATTAATGGCCAATCTTCAACTCTGGGGTCTAGGAGAAAATGAAAGAGCCCATCAGACAAGAATATCATACACCTACAAACACATATTGCTAAAACTCCTCAGTCTCATGAGGTAAAAGGCTCTAAATCAACTGCAAGTTTTATTATTATTGTTTATTAATAATAATAAATTTTCATGCAGAGCCCATTTCAATTTGAGTTTATAATTTGAACTCTGCCACATTAAAACTCACATGATATCAAAACCAAGGTCTCTAAAAGCTGGGTGTGGAAAGGCACTGCATGGTACAATTTACACTTGTATAAGAATGTCCCAAAGCCCTTGGTGTAGTACAGAATTACACAGACTAGAAAGGTTCAAGTTGGGCATCTTGGTTGTGTAGAATAGATAACCACAGTGAAAATGCCAGTTAAAAATTTTAGGGAAGCAGAAAGGTAGTAATGAACAATAAAATACTGATCCTTATCCAGTAACCACTGGCACAAAGTTTGTTTGTGTAAATGTCTATCAGGAAAACACCAAAGATGGTCAAACATTGCTCTGACATTAATCCTCTGTCACACATAAAGAATGGTTACTTAGCGTTAGACAGCTTTCAGGACTCGTTGGCCCATAGCTCAAATCATGACCTCCAGGAGAGAAAAGCATTGTACAGTTTTGTTTGAACATTGTTCTTCGTGACACCACCCAAGAGTTGCATATAATTATTGTACCAAATACATTATTCCAGGAGATACCAACAACATGCACTTATATAGCGCCCTCCACGCAGGACAGCATCTCAGAGCACTTAACAGTGGTGGAGCCTGACTCTGAGCCAGGAGTGGAGGGAGAAGTGGTAGAGGTGGCCGTAAGCACGGTCGAAGAGGAAGATTTTTAGGCGGGACTTGAAAAAGGGGAGCGAAGGGGCAAGGCAGAGGGATTAAGGGAGAGTGTTCCAGAATTTTGGGGCATAGTGGCTGAAAGCGTGACCTCCGATGGTGAGGTAGAGGGTGCGAGGGACAAACAGGAGGTCAGTGCCATTCAAGCGGAGCTGCTGGATGGTGGATTGGGGAGTGAGGAGATCGGAGAAGTAGGGAGGTGCCAGAGAGTGAATGGATTTGAACTCAAGTGTGAGGATCTTGAAGTTGATCCGTTCGGCCAGTGGAGATGTGGGTTCGGAGTTTGGTCCGCGTCAGTATGCAAGCAGCAGAGTTCTGAATGAGCTGGATCTTTTGAATAGGGAGCTGGGGAGAGTAGGTTCAGTGCTAACAATAAGGGCATTATATATATCACATTGTATCAATAGCGTGCCAATTACCAGATCAGATCAATAATCTACCAGTCAGATTACTTTCAACCCTAAGTGGAATTTGAAACTAATAAAAAGTTAGTCAAGGACAACAACATTCAGTTGACCCGGTTATCCACGCACATACATACCAGAAAGCTGGCAGTACCAGTGGACTCATTGGCTGGCTTCACAGCTTGCAGGAAAAGACATTAACTTCCTATACCGAAGTCAACAGTAGTCACACCTCAATACAATGCAGAGCTTGGTTTTATGGACACAAGCACCTTATTGTAAATGGGCACCAATTATATGCAAATAATCAGTTCAAGGCAAAAGTACCCATAAAATGTAACCATCTCTCCCCCAAAAAACAAAATTACATTGTATAGCACCTTTCATGTCGGGAGGACGTCCCAAGGTGCTGGACAGTCAATGTTTCCGACCCAAGCTGGGGGTCAGGATTGGGGAGGGTGGAGGTCAGGGGGAGGGGAAGGAGGGAGGGGGCGAGGCGGAGGGACTGCGGAATGGAGTTCCAGAGGTGGGGGGGCAGAGTGGCTGAAGGCCCGCTTGCCAATGATGGAGCGGGTGAGGCAGTGGACGTGAAGTAGACCGGAGCTCGCTGAGTGGAGGGAGCGGGGAGGTTGTTAGGGGGTTAGGAGGTCGCAGAGGTGGGGGGGAGCAAGGCCATGGAGGGCTTTGAAGGTGAGGACCAGAATCCTGAACTGTATCCTCTGTGTGAAGGGAAGCCAGTGGAGGTGGGAGAGGATGTGGGTGATGAAGCCTGGTGCGGGAGAGGACACGTGCTGCAGAGTTCTGGATGATCTGCAGCCTATGGAGGGAGGAGTTGGGGAGTTTGAATAGTTGAGCTTCGATGTTATGAATGTGTGGATAAGAGGTTTGGTGGCCTGCAGTGTGAGACAATCGTGGAGCCGGACAATGTTGCGGAGGTGGGGGAAGGTCATGGCACAGATGTGGGGTAGAAAGGATGGTTGTGGGTCAAACAAGATGTCAAGATTCCGAACTGGCTTAGTAAGGTGGAGTGTGCATCCTTGGATGGTGATGCTGTCAGTGTGAAGGCGTTAACGGGAGCCAATCCGGAGGGCCTCAGTCTTGTTGACGTTCAACTGAAGAAAGTTAGCTCTCATCCAGAAACCTACCAGCATCTTTGAGCCATTCATCATAAAACCGTACTGCTCTAGATGTCAGATCTTTGAAAGACATTTTCAGAGATGTGCAATGTTTATCCAAGGTTTCAATGCTGCAAAATAAATTCAAATGTTACAATGATTACAGCAATAAAAAAACACAAATCTTCAATCTGAAAACAAAGAAATATTCGATGCTTCTTTCGATCAGTAACAATGTCTTTTTCGAACATCACTTTTCATTTAGCGCAAATAATGATTAGTCGTACATTTTAATATCATACACAATGAAGATATTCTCTATCAGTCCTTTTGATGTTAGTCTCTCAAATGCACTGCTTATATCAGCTTTTCACCATGAAGTGAGGTGGTCATGTGTGGGGAAAGAATTGTTGGCCAGGGCAACAGAACAAACAACCTTCTCTTTCCAAATATTGTTATTGGATCTTTAACATCCCCCTGAATGGGTAGGACATCTTCTGACAGTGCAATGCTTCCCAACATTGCACTGAAGTGCAATGCATCATAGACTATGAGCTCCAAGTACTGACATGGGGCTTCCGCCCACAACCTTCAGACTCAAAGGTAAGAGTGTTAAACTGTTGCTACCAATTGAGCCAGGTTAACACCCAACAGTTACAAACTCCATTTTATTTTTCAGAATCCTTAAATTCAAGTTATCTAAGTCACCATGCGGACAGTTTAGTTTATTCTGATATTTCCATTGCTTATAATAGATTGTAAATTCTCTCCTTCACCTCAGATTTAAACCCCAAACTGAAAGATCCTATAAATATTTTATTTTCATAAACAGAACACTTTCATTTGATCTGCTGCAAGATCACAATCGTACGAATGAGAATTATACAACAGATTCAAAATGTTCAGTCCAGTTTGCAAATTACTCCAGATTATAAACTCAGTTTACAAGATGTTCAGGGAGGGGGGGGAGGGGAAGGGGGGTTGGGGGGGCGCGGGAGACGAGGAAGGGAGGCATTCAATTAGTTGGACTATTTGGGCCAAAATGCCTGTTTCCATGACCCATCATTCCACAATTACAGTCAAGAGACCAGATCACATTGTGGGCAATACATTGTGGGCAATACCACCCTGGTTTAGCCTGGGCACACATATTATTTAATATTCTATACTGAAAAGGTGACGGCAGGATTTTGGCACTAACCAGCCAATTCCCAAATTAAAACATGCTTGCTCTCCAGCTTGTCAACTCGCCAATGAAAATCACTTATTGTGTATACAAACTTCATGCTCAGGTGTACACTACGAGCAGGAAACATCACTGCTGTTATTTTGCAAAGGAAGTGACATCAGTAGCAACCCAATGACTGTAAGACAGCTTTTTTGCATTTATAAGTTTATGGATCCGAACCATTGCAGCTTTTTGGTCAGCTGAGTGTCCAACACATGCGGAAGCCCATAACCATGCTTAAGAGTAACCAAACTAGACAATGTTCCCACATATGCTACTTACATTTGAAATTTCCTCATGTCAAGAATGGAATGCACATTCTCTCTGGAGGTACACTCCCTACTTAACCGCATTCAAGAGAGTATTACGCATAGGCAGACAAGAGCTAAGGTTTGGGCACTCCAGCGCATGCAATGAGGTATTACTGGAGTTTAAAGAAGCTAAACCACGTTGCTTGCCATTGCAAGCATTATTTGTCAAGCTTCCCACTGCTTGTCCAGCTAGGTTCACCCACATAATTAGGTTTTTGTTCCTACAGGGTTAATAAAAGCAGGGTGAGTCACTACCCTCAGTGTCCTGCTGATGAACCAGGCTGGCTGGTTAATTATCAGCAGTGCCCTGGGGGGCTGTAGATCCACCCCACAGAAACTGGACGACCGAGATCGCCAAAGGGGATTGACTCAATTCCAACAATCAGCTGGAGGCAGATCAGCTCCAAGGAAACAACGCACCCCCCACCCCCCCAAGGAAACCAAGTATAAGCCTGTATAATTTGAAATAAGATACAAATGGGAACAGAAATGCACCTTTATCTCAATAGTTACTGAACATTCCTGTCAAACAGGTTCTTCAAATGCCGACACCAGTAAGTATTGAAAAGGAGGCTGGTGGGATTGGAACACAAAACTAGCATTGTATGATCATCACAACAAGTCTCATTATCAAACAAAACTTTCGGTAAATAAAATGATCTATTCTTTAGGATGAACTTATGCATACCAAACTCAATACATATCAAACTCAATAAATATACCCCTAAAGATATGGAATGCTCTGCCCCAGAAAGTTGTAGCTGCCCATGACCGTGTCTGCCCTATTTCCCGCAACTCTGCCCTCACCCCTTCCCCCTCTTCCCAGAACCGTGATAGGGTCGTCCTAGTCTTCACCTTCCACCCCATCAGCCTCAACATGCAACAAATAATTCTCCGCCATTTCCGGCACGTCCAGCGTAATCCAACCACTAAGCATATCTTTCCCTCCCCTCAGCACTCTGAAGGGACCGTTCCCTCCATGACTCTCTGGTTCATTCCTCCATCACCACCAATTGCTCTCCTCCCCCCGGCACCTTCTCGTGCCAGCACAGGAGATGCAATACCTGCCCTTTCACCTCCTCCCATATCACTGTCCAGGGTTCCAAACACAGATTTCAAGTGAGACAATGATTTACATGTACTATCACCAATGTAATTTACTGCATTTGCTGCTCACGATGTGGTCTCCTCTACATTGGGGAGACGAAAAGCAAATTGGACGACCGATTTGCCGAACACCTCCGTTCAGCCCAACTGAAGACAAGCTTCCAGTTTCTTGCCATTTCAACTCTCCCTCCCACTAGCATTCTAACCTCTCCATCCATGATCTCCTACGCTGTTCCAATGAGCCACAGCGCAAGCTCAAGGAGCAGCACCTCATTTATTTGCCAGGGACCTTACAGCCCTTTGAACTCAATATTGATTTCAACAATTTCAGACCATAACAGCTCACCTTCCCTCTCCCCCTCTTCTGTGACCATTACTACATCATCTGGGTCCCAGACACACCTTCTCTCTCTGGTCTGCCTATTTTGTTGCAATTACCCCTCCCCCCGTTTTGCATTACTAACACCTCTATTCCCCTGTTTTGTTGCAATCCCTCTCTTTGTTTTGCATCATTAATACCCCTGTCCTCTACCCCATTTTCTCCTTTGTCTTTCTTGCCCTGCCTTCCCCCTCTCTGTTACCCCTTAAAAGCCTCTCCCTTCCAACATGCCCCAGTTCTGACGAAGGGTCACGGACCCAAAACTCACTTTCCTTTCTCCTTAGATGCTGTCTGACCTGCTGAGTGTTCCCACAGAAGGAGCCCATTTGGCCCATCGTGTCTGTGCAGCTTTTTGAAAAGACCTATCCAAACCAATCCCACTCCCCCACTCTCTCGCACTGCAAACTTGTCCCCCCCAAATAAATATCTACTTTTCGTTTAAGTTGTTATTGAATCGGCTTCCACCACCCTTTCAGGCAATGCATTCCAGATCCAAACAACTCGCCGTGTGAAAACATTTTTCCTCACCTCCCTTCTGTTTCTTTTAACAACTATTTTAAATCGGTGTCCTCGGGTTACCGACCCACCCGCCAGTGGAAATAGTTTCTCCTTGTTCACCGTATTGAATCCCCTCATAATTAAGTCTATTAAGTCTTCTCTTAACCTTCTCTGCTCCAAGGAGAATAATCCTAGCTTGTCTTGCCTTTCCTGATAACTGAAGTCCCTCATTCCTGTTTTATAAAAGTTTATCATAACTTCCTGACTTTTGTATTCTATGCCCCTATTTATAAAGCCTAGTACCTTAGATGCTTTCTTAACAGCTTTATCTACCTGTCCTGCCACCTTCAGACATTTACTTATATGAACCCACAGGTTTCTCTGTTCCGTCACCCCCTTTAAAATTATACTATCATTTTTTATATTCCTCTCCTCATTCTTGCTCCCAAAATGCATCACTTTGCATTTCTCCACCTGATATGTAATGTAAATATGATATAGTGAAAGGGCAGGTCATTGTGATTAAAAGGTTTAATAAAGTCAGGATGTCCTGGTAAATAATATGGCAGATAAAATTGCTCATCTACATCACAGTAAATCCTGTGAAGTACTCAAGACATCATTCAGACGTGAAAGGCACTATAATAAATGCAAGGAATAATATTTGTCTTAGTAATAACCAGTGCAACAGGTTTGGTGGATTGAATAACCTCATTATGTTCCTATATTTCACACCCACATTTTTGGGGGGAGGAGAGGCTGTAGAAGAAAGAGTGTGAGCAAAGTTCACTCATTTGAGATTACCTATCAGCATTAATGATCATGGGTGGTCCAAGTGGTGATTCAGAGGTAATATTCATATAATTTTCATGTTTGATACCACCCATGATTTCATAACCAGAAACCGACATGAACAATGTGGTTCAAAATAAAATTGTGCAATTCAAGCTCTGTCAAGGTTACTAAGTTATTATATGGAACTCCCAGGAGGCAAATATACACTGGTAGATAAGATAAATATTCTGATAAATTATAATTAGTTATAACTGTCTCCAATATTCATAAATATTAATGTGCAATTTTCAGTACTTCAGTACTTCTCAACATCAGATTTATACAAACGGTAACACATTCTAAAGGATTATGACTACCGGAATAAGATCTCAACAACAACTTGCATTTATATAGCATCCTTCACACGGGTAATGTCCCGGAGCGCTTGAGTATTCTCTTCTGCAATATTAACCTTTCCAACTTACAATAATCTTTGTATTTCTTCTGTAATCTCTCCTTGAATTCAAAATGACCAATTCCATCAATTTAAATTGCCTTGTGCCCTGCCCTTTCCAATACCTAATAATTTCTTAATAATTTCCATAATTGTGTGAGCAGATCGCAACCCCAAGAGAGTACACACTGTTTTAGCAAAAGGGAAATTTCTGTACATATATCGAACTCTCAATAGTTTGGCTTTGAAACCCATCACTTTGCTTAAGAGTATCCAACACCCCAATGTACAAAATAACGTTTCCTCACCCGACTGGTACAATTATCAATCTACTGTAGAAGAAACAACATCTCTCAATCTACATGGCAGACATAACTGAA